ATGTAGTAAATGTAGTAAATGTAGTAAATGTAGTAAATGTAGTAAATGTAGTAAATAGATATAGAGGTAGTAGCTAGAAATAAATGTGGTAGCTAGAGGTAGACGTAGTAGCTGGAGGTAGATCTAGTAGCGCTTCTATCAAGTTGCTCCTAGCCGAAAAAGAAAAGCAGCCATAATAACAGGCGGCAAAGCAACAATAAGAGCCCCGAGCCCCATACCGCCCTGGATATCGCCCTTTAACGTGCTCCACAAAACACTCGCTATTATACTAATCGAGATGGTAACCATAACGATCCAAAATACAGCCGCACGATTCGGGCCTTCAATGACGTGGATGCCCCAACCGTCTGTTGCTTCTCCACAGTCTACGACCTTGTGGTTCCGCCTCTTCGGGAGCCGTGGCAGCCAGGTATACCGGTTCGGGCTAAGGTCGCCGTCGCCGTGCTCGAGGTAGTGCACGAAGACTTCGGGCGGCATTGGCGGCGGGATGAACTCGTAGTCGATGCAGGTGTTGGGCGGCATTGAATTGGGCCTGTCACACACAGAGACGTAGCCGTGGCGTAAATTCCAGAGTGTGAACTGGCAGGCGTCATGTCACTCATGTTAGCTAAAAGTCTTCATCCATAATGACATTCCTCTCGCTGTTTTCGGACAAGGAGTAGTCAAAACTTACGCGGACAAACTCGACGGTTACCGGCTTCACTAGGAAATGCAGGCGGGAGCGTACGCCCCGGTACTGGAGATAGGCCTTCTTCATCTGCGAAAAGGCCTCTCCGTCCGAGTTTATACGTGACATGTCTAATTCGGCTAGTGTCTTGTACATACCCCCAGTATTGACACAGAGGGCGAGGAACTTGGGAGGGATTGCATCGACACTAGATGCGTCAGTGCTGTCAGTTGACAAAGATGTCCTGGTCGAATTTGCCCTGCTTGATGTTGTCCTGCTCGAACTTGACGATCTTGAGGTCATGTGATGCGGATTGGTCTGAGACTGCTCCGAATCACTCGTGCTATTTGTAGATCTCTCATCAGCAGACGTGTCTAATGACGATTTCAGGTCATCTAGATCAGACGTCTTGGTTTCGAGAAAGTCACCATACAAGTCCACGCCACAGTCCTAGCATACAAATTAGCTACTGCTCTATATCAAATTTACCAGCATACACAGTGACTTACGCAAGTCCATTCTATTCTTCTATAGCCCGGATTAAGCCTAGGTCTAGTTATCTTCCTTATCCAGGGAAATAAGCGCATATGTGATAGGCGGTTTGCTCTGGTTGGCGGCTTTATAGGTGTGGGTGTGCCTGAGGCTTGGCCGCCGCGCAAGTCTCTCGATGGCTGTCTGTCATTCACACGAGGCGGAATAGTATTTTCTCCGTGTTTTCCCTTACCAGCTAGATCGTACATTGGCTTCCAATATGGACGATTTTGCTTCCGTGCAGTTGAGATCAGGTCGTTCTGCAAGACCTGTGACTGTTGTTTATCGTTCATGTAAGGCGCCGCGGTGTCTTCTTCCCACATTCCTTGATTAGATGGATACCGCGGGGATCCATGATACAGCAGTGATTCGACTTCCTGATCGGGAGAGTTGTGTTGTAATTGTCTAAGCTCCCTTTGCGCTTTCAGCCGTTTCAACTTTTCGCGCTTCTCGAGCAATTCGGCGGTTCTTTTGAGGAGGTTGAGTCCCTTGGACATACACTAGATTTATATGCAAGTGGTATTAGCAATATAGTATACCTCACTTAGAATTACAAGGTTATGTGTAGATGCATAAGCATACACCGTGGAGATACATCTTTTAAGAGGGAAAGACCGAAAATAAAGGAGGCCTACCTTTTCTTCGACCACGCTCCACTCCTCTTCGATTCGAGCTGCCAAGCCGCTCCAGACCTCCTTACGCATGCTCAGATACTCTTTTATCACGCCTTCACGTCCATCAATTGCTTTAGCATTCTCAGAGCTTTGAGAGCTGCTAGGCATACACTAGATAGCGTGAGATGCGGTATTAGAATACATATGTAGTATATTGTTACATACCTTTTCTTCAACAGCTCTCCAATTCTCTCCAATCCGAGCTGCCAACCCGCTCCAAATCTCCTCATGCATGCTCATATATTCCTTGGCTAGGTTATGCATTTTGGGAGGACCCCAGCTGTCGACGACCGCCCTTTCTGCCAATAGCCACTCATGGCGTATGAAGCAGGCCTCAGGCGTCTTGAATTGGAGGTATTGACCGATTTCTTTCCAAGTGAGGCCTAGCATGCGGGTTACCAACAACAACTGGTCATCTTCCGGGCTCCAGTCTGCAGGGTTAGGCTTCTGTTGCTGCCATTCCTCGGATTCCAGTCTGTAAACTGAAGTGACATCCCAATCTAGACGGCCAGAGCCAATAACATGTTAGCGGCAGTTATGGAAAACACTTAGTTGTTCACCATACCAGGGTTATCAGACAAAGGTTGGTTGACATCTTCACTCTGTTCTGGTCCAGCGCGGCGTTCAAGATCCTCTAGACGACGTTTAAGCTTTTTGCCTGCAAATGAGTGTTAGTGAAAGGGGAAGAAAAAGAGAGAAAAAATTGCATTCATAATTCGAAAGAGAGTGTGAGAGAGACATACGGTAGTTGCGCTGAGCGATGCGGTTTTGTATTCTCCTGCGCTCGGCAAGATCTGAGATTCTGGTCCAATCCTCGTCAGGGTTAGCAGAGCTGCTAAAAGCGCTGCTGGTCTCTTGATTCGAGGAGTGTCTCGAAGGAGAGGGCAACTCTTCAGTAGGTAGTCCAAAGCCAGCGCTGCTAAAGGCGCTGCTTAAAGCGCTGCTAAAAATGCTGCTAAAAGTGCTGCTTTCGCTGTGACTTGAGGGGGGCCGAGGAGGAGAGGGCAACTCCCAACCAGGTAGTCCAAGGCCAAAGCTGCTGAAATCCCTGCTTTCGCCGTGATTCGATGAATGCCGGGGACGAGAGGGCAACTCTTCATCAGGTAGTCTGAAGTGAGCCAAGCTGATATCGTCGGGCGGGGTGTCGGCCATGGTTGTCAATTAGACAGACATGGTAGTTTCCTCCTGGAATAAGGTGCTAAACCTGGTATACATGGAGAAGGCTGCAAGCATAAATTACGAGAGATTTGCGGCTCTGCCCTGCAGAATGCCTATTGGAGGTTGAATGCATGTCAATTAGCCACCTGGATAATTACGGAGTACATGGTGAGGGGGATGCATTGGGGATGAAGAGTGCCTTGCAGCGAGCCTTGCGGGAAGCATTTGGATTGGTCTGGACAAGTGACAATTTGCCTGCATTGCATTGAAGAGATGTAGCAAATACTTTGGTTGCTGATACTAATTGGATGTTGACTACATCAACAGTCTGCATATAGATGTTGCTATTAATGTCTCATATGATATGGATGTTATGGATGTTACTGGCTGACCTCGCATTCGCTTCTGCTATTACCGGCCCAATCGCTGTTGAGTTGAGATGTTAAAATTGGCTTCCCCACAACCTTATAATAGGTACGAGGTCTGCGCCTCCACCCCTTCATATAGACGTTGAGATAGGATTGACTACTTTATTTATGAGGCTATAGGGGTTTTATGGAGTTTTGTTATTTTACTGTCATGCAGCGCCCCAGTTTCAGCACACAGACGCTGTTTCAAAGTAAGAGTGTTTGATGATGGTTTGACATTGACTGCGCCCGCCCGTGTCCACGTTGTTAGTCGCGCTCAAAAGCTTCCATATTGCATCTAGCGCAGGTTGCCGGAAGAAGCTGTCGATTCGATTCGAGCTTGGCGCTTGCGCAAGCAGCCCAACAGCCGCGTCATTTCACACACGGGATGTCAGCAATTGAGAATGGAGAATGGGGAATGCCTGCAAAGACTACGACTACATCGGTATCCTCTTCGTCGAATGCATAGGCTAAAGCGGCCCTAAATTAGAAACCGAGGGGACGCGGATCTAGGCACAGCACAATAGGCAGAATGAAACTGGAGAGTACGAGTAAATACGGAATACGGAGGTTTGCTGTCGCGGCCGTTGGAAGCCAATGCACATCCGGCATTGCGTCTTTTGGCCGATTGCCCCATAAGGCAGCTGTGGACACCCTCTTCTCGGCTAGTCGGCCGAGGAATTATTGGAATGCAGCTGGATGGAGGTGGTGTTGGTTAGGTGAGAGTGATTTTCATGTTGGGGGGGGAAGAGAGGGAACGGGGAGTTGGAGCTGTGAAGTCATTGACATCATTGAAAGGGGATCAGATGCCGGGAACGATGAGCGAGGGACAAAAAGTGGCGAATTACTTGCATATTTTCAGGGCTGGAGTAAAATCATACCCTGCAGGTATCAGTACTTTCAGAAGAGATGATCTCTGACTGTAAAATAGTTGCCATTAATACCTCGCATCTCGTATGATGGAAGAAATCGCCGAACATGCATGTCGTATCACTCGCTCTCGCTCAACTTTTGACACTTTTTCAGGGTCAGCGGGCCTTGGCGGGGAGGAAATGATCGGACCGAGGCAGTGCGCATACAACGCTGGACGTGGAAATTTTTAGTCCGAAGTTGCACTGAAGAAAGCCGTTGCTCTCATCCACTAGAAATCCGGCCTTTACGCGTATTGTTGGGGGTCGGAGTCGAATGCATGCAAGGCATCAGAGAAAAGATGCAGCCGGATGGATCGTGCAGAAAAGTGACAAGTTGAGGTTGAGGTTGATGTATTCTGTACTGTAGAAGTTACTGAGTGAGACATTCTGAACAGAGTCAAAACGGTGTGCAACTCCAAAAAGGCTCACCTTCAATCCAGGTCGCCGTTCTAGAAATCCTTCACAATGCCAATGGATGCCAATGCACGCAGCTACAGGGCATCGCAGGGGATGACATGAAGTACCGGTACCGCCAGGCCAAGGCATCCTTGGATCCTCCACGAGGCGCAAACGCGGGCCACTGCGTCATCATGCGACGAGCGACACGTACTGGGTACTTGCGTGCTCTTGGCAGCGGGTACAGGCACTAATAGCGCTAACGAATCGAGATTTTGGGTGAGAAAAAACGGAACGGCTCTCGCGTGCGCTGCAGCTTCTTGCTACATTTTTTCGTACTCGGATTTGGGGGAAGCTCTAGTACAGAAGGCTGGGCTGTCCGGAAGTGGCTTTTTTTTTTTCTTCTGTCAGGTTTTTATTTTTTAGAGTCCTTCAATATCATCCTCTTCTTCTTCTTCTCTCTCTCACCAGCTGATTGTTATCATATGCCATATTACTACTTCTCACTTCTCCCACCCCCAGCAGCTGCATCTCCAATCCTTCCATCCTCCAATATCTCAGCTTGCCAGGATCCTTCACTTCATCCCCCTGGCGCCTCTCCTCTGCTCCACAGCTGCTATATCCGTCCATACTTTCATCTCGAATCCTCGGGCTGCGCGCGCTGCCGTTCGACTAATCCAGCAAATTAGGCGCGCAAACCCGCCAAGCCCTATTCCAGCAATTCTCGCATCAAATTCTCTGCCCTGACCAGGTATCCGGAGCCTGCGGATTGGATTGGCGATTTCTAGGGGCGCTATAAGCCTTCCGCTTATAAAGAAGCTTAGTCGGCCCACTCGGGGCCTGACGTTGTCCGTAGTCCGTTTGGTTTGCCCTCATTGAGCTGCTTTGCTTCCGGTTTTGCATCTGCTGTTCTGTTTACTATCTGGCCGGTCAGCTCGTGACTCGACTCGCTTCGATTTTTGCCGCAAGGCTCGGTCAGATCCTGTCAGCCTCTCGTTCCGCTTCCTCCTCTCTTGTCTGCTCTTCTCCTCTTCGCATCGCATCGCATCACCGCCTTGTTTCTCCCTTCCCGCTCGGATCCTACCATCTTTGCGACTCTCGCCTCGGGCTGTTACGACTCTCCGTCGAGTTGTCGCCTGTCATAGAGTCGTATTGTACTCACAGCATGGAATATGCCTCCTCCAATACCATCGCCGGTGGACGTGGGCGACAGCCAATTGGCCCCGAGAAAGGACGGTAGCACCAAGAATCCCACCAACGGATCATCCGGGAACGCAGAGTCCCAGCCTCTGCCTATCGCAAAGCGATCCACGACTCTGCTGTCCCGGACTCCGACTCAGCAACTACAAAATGGAAAGGAAAAGGAAGTCAAGGGTGTGTCGGTTAGAACCATGTCTTCGACCCCGCCAGCCGCAACCGCCCTAGACCCGTTGAGCAATGTATGTATTTCAGCCTCGCCTCTCTCTTGATGTGGTTGGATGAAGTCCACGTGAGATACTGACAGAGACATGATTCAAGCAAATCTTTCTTAGGACGAATAGCGGCACCCTCGAAACATCCCTCGCGCAGCGTCTGCGTGGCTCTACCAAGCCCGATAGCCCAACGACGGAAAGCTTCCCTAAGAAGAGCATTAGTATTGAGAATACAGCCCGCTTGGCAAATGGCCTCGCTGATTTCCCCAGAGAGCGAAAGTAGGTTTGTGCCTGGCGCTATCTTTGCTCGCCTGCTAACATTCTTGGCTGTAGGAAGGGAACATCTTTCTTGAGCCGGCTTGCTATGCGAAGCGCCTTCAAGAAGAACGACGACGATGCGCCCGATTCCGACTCCGAGCTGGGCGAGCTGCGCACCGAGGGGAGCAGCGCTCGCGCCCCAATGTCCGTCATGAGCGATGGCGGTGGTTACATCCCGCTTTACAAAGAACCTCCCCGCTATATCCGCGTGCGATCGCACAACAGCAAGCGCCGAGACTTTAATCGACTCTTTTTAGCCCAGGAACTGCTGGGGCCCAAGCCAGAGAAGGATGACGAGCCGTCGCAAGGTCGTGTACCTGCCACTGCGGTGGGCACGCGGCTTCTGAAAGCTGGCGATGCGATATGGGCTGCTGAGTTTAGCATTGACGGTCGATACCTTGCTGTGGCCGGCAAGGACCAGATTGTTCGGGTCTTTGCCGTCCTGTCGACGGAAGAGGAGCGCAAGGCGCACGAGGAAGAAGAGGAGGCTGAAAGAGACGCCCAGGGAAAGAGTCGGGGAGAGCGTTTGAGCGCACCCGTATTTCGAAATAAGCCGGTCCGCGAATTCGAGGCTCACACTGGAGAAGTGCTGGCCCTCTGTTGGAGCAAAAACAATTTCCTCCTGTCGACCTCAATGGACAAGACGGTGAGGCTCTGGCACGTTAGTAGACAAGAATGCCTCGCCACGTTTACACACCACGATCTGGTCACGTCGATTGCGTTCCATCCTACCGACGACCGATTCTTTCTTGCCGGCTCCCTGGATGCTCAGCTCCGGCTTTGGAATATACCAGACAAGTCGGTGGCCTTTTCGGCCTCGACAAATGAATTTATTACGGCCGTGGCGTTTTCGCCCGACGGCAAAATGGCTATCTGCGGGGTACTGAATGGCATGTGCTCGTTCTTCGAGACGGAGGGGCTCAAGCAAAAGTTCCAGATCCACGTACGCTCGTCACGAGGAAAAAACGCCAAAGGCAGCAAAATTACGGGCATCAAGACGGCTACGGTGGCTGGAACTGGCGAAGTAAAAGTGTTGATCTCATCCAACGACTCCCGCGTTCGAATCTACAGCTTAAAGACTCGGATGCTGGATGTTAAGTTTAAAGGCCTCGAGAACCAGTCTAGCCAGATTCACGCTCGTTTCAGCGACGATGGAACCTATGTCATCTGTGGCAGTGAGGATAGGAAGGCATACATCTGGAACACGAATACGACGGAAGTCGAGATGAAGGATCGCCAGCCGTACGAGTGTTTTGATGCTCATCCAGAAGTCGTCACCACCGCTCTGTTGGCACCAACACGGACCAGGCAACTGTTGAGCGCGTCGGGGGACCCAATCTTTGACCTGTGCAACCCGCCGCCTGTTTTGCTTCGAAGCCTGGACGAGGCTGCTCTAAGCCAAACCGAGGTGTCGGAAACGGGCACCGAGATTCATAATCCCCCGCCGAGCGTCAGCATCAAGAAGCCAGAAGAGAGCCCGGCCTATCTGAACCGCTGTAAGCATATGGACGGCAACATTATCGTCACAACCGACAGGACCGGTACGATTAAGGTGTTCCGACAAGATTGCGCATTTGCCAAGCGCCAGCAGAACATGTGGGAGATTGGCTCCAAATTCTCCAGCAAGGTCGGCGGGTTGGGACGAAGCGGAAGCATCATCACCAGAACTAGCGGAAGTCTGTCTAGGCGAACCTCGCTCAATCTGAGTGCTGGCCAGGCTCAGCACCCGTCTGACCGAATTATGAGCTGGCGTCAAGACGTCGATGACCAAGGACGAGCAAGCCTCAACGTGGCGCCGATTAGGACGGAGCGATCTGCCTCGCCGAGGAAAACCCCCGTACCGCCGGCCAATATCTCGACAATCAATCCCTCAGCAGTAGCTAGGAAGCCTGTTGCCTCAGGAGGCTCACCTGTACGGGCCCCGAGGAATGGCCTCGCAAGCCCCACGGGCAGCGTACGGAACAGGGCATCGATAGGAACATTGGACGGGGGGTCGCAGCCGCCAACGCCTAGTTTCAATTTCATCAGCGTGGCAGAAAGCGACGAAAACGACACGAATGGCAGCTTCTGGAACCTCGCCCGGTGGAGAGGAAGTCTTTCGGGGCTGAGATATTCTGTCAGCGCAAGCTCTCCCACCGAACCTACCCACGATGCTGCTGCTGCTGCGACGGCGGCGGCGGATGATCGGAAATCCGGTGACATTTTGAAGCCACCAAATAAGGCAGCCGCTCGGAGGAGCATTGGAGTCACGGACCTCAACAGGCCCAAGATTGTGGAAGACCAGACGAACCGCAGGAGATCAATGGGGCCTGCCATTCGATCAAGCAAGTCGCAAGAATCGACGACTGTGGGAATGGCCATTATTGATGAACACAAGTCTGACCAGTCCTTGCCCAAGAAGCGGGCTGATTCCGGAGTGGGGAGGATGAGTGACGATACAGCTGAATGATGAAGAGGAGGGGGGGGAAGACAATTGTCGCGCGTCAGTTGAAGCTGATGCGAGTGTAGATGTCTTTTTGGTTATTTTTCATTTCTTATCTGGTGACTGCTTTGGCCGGCCCATGTTTCATGCCTTTGACGGTAGCTTTCCTTTCCTTTTTCTCTTGTTGTTATTTTTTCATTATAACGGCTGCATACCAAGCGTGGAGTTTTTATTCTTTTGTCTACATTTCTTTGCTATACCAATTGTTGTGGTGCGGTCATGGGAGGGAAGGGCTACGTGTGTGGCTTTCTTTGGGAACACGGAACAAGGCTGGTGTGTGGAAGGGGGCTTCTTTTGGGTGTATTGTTGGGCGCAAGTATGTAGAATAGGAGGGGATCAAGTATTGATATCATGGGAGATTTGACACACGCGAGATGGAACAATGAAAGTGCGAATAGAGCGGGATTTTACAGCGATACAGTTTTTGAACGTGGACGTGAAAATGTGCCTTTTGTTATGATTATATTTGCAGACTAGAGATGACTTGTATGTCTGTCTACTCGTCCGTTGTAGATTGTGGTATCCCTCTTTCCAACACCATGCATTGTAGGTATCTTGTTTGCATGTGCTCTTCTTTTTTTCCTTTAGTATCTTATTTCATGTATCCTCCTCCTCTGCAGCGATCCTCGTTTTCGTCCCGCACGTATTTAAAAGTCCTCGGTGGTGTTGAGCTACAAAATCACCCACCAACAATCAGCAAAAACTCTCTCTCTCTCTCCTCGTCCCCCTCGGTTCACAATTTACTCACCTCACCAGCAGCCTTGCTCTTCTCCGCAACCGCCGCCGTCAACTTCTGCAGCGCAGGCGGGTTCGCGCCCGTCAAGGTATCAGCCTTATCCCCATTCTCGAAGATGAAAAACGCCGGAATGCTGCGAATGCCGAGCTCAAACGCCAAGTCAGGCACCTCGTCGGTATCGAAGCGGGCGAAAGTGTATTTGTCGTTGGAGAAGGCTTCGGCGTGCTTGTTGAACATGGGGGAGATGGCCTTGCAGGGGCCGCACCAGGTTGCGTGGGCTTGGAGGGCGACGTAGGGAGTTGCCTTGGTGAGTTCGTCGAACTGGGCTTTGGTCTTGATGTCGATGACGGCCATTTTGGTGGTGTGTGTTTTGTTTGTGTGGTTGATGGGGAGAGGAGGGTTTGTTTGAGGTTGTGGAGGTGTTGGAATGAGAGTTTTTTTTTCCTTGGTGGAGTTTTGAGTAGAGAAGAGTTGTGATGATGTAAGTGTAACTTAGTGGTGAACCTCGGTAGCGCTCAACAAACAGTTATCAAAGCTCTGCGAATGGATGCTTTTTCTTTATTGTATTGGAATGGTTTAAAAGATAAGGTTGATGGGGCGTTGCAATCGGTTTTATACATTCTATTTGGCCTTCCATCTGTCCGCTATAAGTAATCATTCCCGCGCACCCCTCCGTGTTTTTTGGCTCAATTACAAATGTCATCATCGCCTTTGTTCTTGACGCACGTAATTACATTACCCAAGCTAGCTAGCAGGGCGCTTGGGGTGCAAACTGGTACTGTATGGAGGTATGTGCAGGTACCCTTAGCAGCATGCACAGCGCTAAAAGTTGCCGTGAGCTACCCAGAGGGTACCTGGGGGAGGATGATTCCAGCGCCTTGAAGACCTGGGGGAGAAATCCGGCGTAGTGCCGCAACTTCGCCGCAGTGCCGGGTGAAGAGCGGGCTTTGCCGTTTTGGAATTGTTAGGGCGCGATTGCGTGATTCGAGGGGCTGTTTGCTGACAAAAAGAGGAAAAGAGGGATGGAATTGATTTGGGGAGGTTCGGATGTCGCGAGGAGTTGGTTCGGGTTGTCGCTGGGGGATGTTGGGAGGCTGTGTGACGTAGTTTTGTTGACTTTACATATCAACTTGAAGAGCTTTGGAATAGCTCTTTGCTATAGTCATCTTAGCTATTAGATGGTGAGGCTGTGAGACGTGGAAGCTGTGTTGAAGCATTTCTCAGCTCTACGGACATGTACGGACAAAGGTGGGGATTATCATGAGTCTCTTGCTTTCTACGCAAAGCTGCGAATTGTTCCCCTGATGTGCATAGCTTTGGTAATCGTCATACCGTGCAGCTCATCCATCTATCGTGTGTAACATCGTCATCTCTGTATTTTATTTTTAGAGCTGTTAATCTGTGTGCAGCTGTGACACGGGCAACTAAATGCGATGTGCTTTAGGGATGCGTGAATGTGGCTGTAGCTGCATTTGTAAGCTTTGAGAGGCTCATGCCCCTTAATCCAATCCAGATGCAGAGATCCCCTCCGCTGGTTCACCAACGGAGACCTTCAATGTTGCGACTTTTACTTCCCCTAAATGACCGAGTTTGGAGACATGAGCTTTCCGGCCCTGAGTGGTAGTTGCCCACCTCTCTGGGCCAGTCCGGACGCCTCACTGAGCCATTCAATCGGTAGTAGCGACGGGCGGTGTGTACAAAGGGCAGGGACGGTAATCAACGCAAGCTGATGACTTGCGCTTACTAGGGATTCCTCGTTGAAGAGCAATAATTGCAATGCTCTATCCCCAGCACGACGGAGTTTAACAAGATTACCCAGGCCTTCCGGCCAAGGGAGTACTCGCTGGCTCCGTCANTGTAGCGCGCGTGCGGCCCAGAATATCTAAGGGCATTACAGCAATTATGCTCCATCACGCGGCAAAGACACACATACACACACATAAACACAAAGCTCCTTTGTGTGTTTCTTTCCCACGTAACAGAGCCCAGCGCAGGGTATTACCCCAAACGCCCTCTAATACTTTGGCCTATCGGGCCTTTATAGAGGAGTATGGTTTCCCATGGGATTAGCACGTACCTTAAGCCAGCTATCACAAGCCAGCCCAACCCTTTGTGCGCGTTGCGACGGCCTGGCGCTACCCACGCTCGCCACAGGATCGGCCACGAAGGCGTTCCCTGTACCAGGTGGTGTCGCCCGCGACAAGGCTCCGAAGAACCTCCTCCGCCCGATAGTTGGGGGCTTCCCCTACGGAGGCAAAGTCGCTGGACTAGCGGTTATCTTTTTATACAAGATGAGGGCCACTGTTACAGGCCTGTAATGTTAACCTGTTATTGCCTCAAACTTCCATCGGCTTGAGCCGATAGTCCCTCTAAGAAGCCGGCGTACTGCCAAAGCAATACGGGCTATTTAGCAGGTTAAGGTCTCGTTCGTTATCGCAATTAAGCATGTAAATCGCAGCCAAGAGAAATGCAAGTGCTGGGAAATAGCTTCAAGACTTTCCGTTTTCCGTTCTCTTTCTTCACCTTTTCTCTCAAACGGCTCAATACGATGCTTTATCTAGATCATTTTCCCGCTGACACAAAGGCCAAGGTAACGTGAAAGAAAAGAGCTTCGCGACCATCTACCCACTAGAGGGGGGTGTTTATACGAGGTTAACGGTGAATTGGAACCGGGGTTCTTCGATCAACGCACTCACTGTGTAATCTTGCGCCGTCAATTCCTTTACGAATGGCTAACCGGTTTCTGCAAATAAAGTTATTTGTCTGGTAATCTTCAACAGCTGGTTGGATAGCATACATTCTCTGATGCTCTGTGTGTGTTGTCACCAAACTGACGAGATAGACAAGTAAACGAGGGGATCTCGATGTACTCAACAAACTGAAGGGTATCAGTCTGGTAATGAACGGAGAGAGGAAAAAAAGAGTCAATATCGGGATCCCAGTTCGCAGGTCGATATATGTAATTGCTACCAATCTGCTCATCTGTGTAGCATTATATTTGTGTTGTGGTTGTTCTTACATACATTTAACTGTCCATTGTGACTAAAAACACAAAGCATGCGAACTTACCAAGAACATGATGAACACAACGGCATCGAGCGCCAGTCAACCTATAGGCAAACCATGTGTCTCAGTATGCGGCTATTCGATTTGCCGTAATGTACTTATATAGAAGGCGACAAGTTCACTGAGCTTGACGTCTTCCTAACCATACAGACGGAATTCGTCTTCCGTTTATTGTAGACAACACCACAAATGCGGCCGCCGCATGTCCTTAGCGTATCCTATTCCGCGCCCTCTCCGAACTGAATGGGATCAAGCACGTCGTCCTCATCACGCAATTTAAATATCATCAAATTATGCGTAATTAACTAAGAAGTTGTATAATGGACAAGTACAATTTGTAAAACCCATCCCGAATTATCTACTTTTCGTGCGATGACTCGACAGACAATATGCTTATGCGCTCTTACATATCATACAATCACCTTATAGAAGACTCGGATACTGTACATGTAGCTCCGACGGATATTCATTTAACCTTTATAAAGGGTCGACTAGTTTAGTTCATGCAGTCATATGGCCTCACTTTCCACAGATTTACACTTTAGTATTCCTTGGTTGGAGCATCAGTAAACACCGAATAGTAATCCCAGTTGATGGTTCGTCGTTGTGGCCCAATGTGGCTAGGCTACCCTTGAGTTGTGCGCGACCAGTTCTTGAAAGTTGGCAACTGGCAACAGCAAATCAACTAAGAGAAGGCGCGGGCGCTTAATGCATGTCAGAAATAAAAGGCAATAGATTCGTGCTAAGAGAATTGGAATTCGTGCGTTAAACACTCGACTATCTGGGTAAAGATGCTGGCGATTGACAACTGTAAGTCAATAGAGTGACACTACGGATACACCAATAGCTAGCTCTCTTCTCTCTCTAATAGGCCCAAGCTCATTACACAAGCACGCAAAGCCTGTTGTAAAAAGATCAAAGAAAACTTCCCAGTTGCCGAAAATGAGGTGCTTTTGGCGGTTGCTGAGATTTTATTTCTGAATTTGCATTGGATCGAGTGGTGCTTGCTTATCTGCTTGCTCAGAGTTGCTGGCTGTTATGAAGAAGACACGTAAAAAGAGGCCAAACCAAGTCATACAGATGACTATTAATCCCGAAACACCGAATCATGGTTCGCTGGTCTTGAAACGCCGAGGGTTGTAAGCTCGGGATTTGCATGCTATGACGGCAAGTGACGGAAATTCAAGAAGAGGCACCTAATTTGAAACAGTCAATACTACGCTGCTTATCTGCATTCGCGTAACCCCGTCACCACACTCGCAGCAGCTATGGCGCAAGTAGCACCATATCTATAAACAGCTTCAATCAGGGTAGGACTTTGAAGCTTATAGGCTAAAAGGTGGTACGATACGCCCTTTGATGCACGATACCCGGCTTTAGCTACCTATTTGACATATTATCTCCAAGCTGCAATACTGTCGTATTTATTACTTCGGGGTGCCTGGGTCAGCCTCGGAGTCCTTATAATATCCTCCTTACCGAGAAACAGTCGAAATAGGTTCATGAGCAGCAAGAAATGTGATGTAACGGTAACTTCCAGGCCCGTTGATTTCATAGTGGCATCATGCTAGGCGATCACCGTGAGGTTCTGAGGTATAAAAAAAAGAATAGCAACATATTAGCGTCTTTGGAAGTGAATTAGATGTTATTAGACAGAGAACGCTAATAAGAAGTGCTTGGTGCGCAGTTCTTACAAAGGCATCCGGGCCATCTCCTATTCCTCCGATCGACTTGTCAACAGCGCATAGTATTGGCCCGGGATAATGAATCTCATACTGATTATTATTACATTAGGGTTATCGGGACTGAATAAACTGCCGAGGCGGGCCTGGGAGAATCCCCATCGTACATTGAGTGATTGGCTCGAAACTCCGCGATGTGACGCGTATAGCTCTTTTTTCCAGTTTGGGAAAGACATCTCGAAAACCCCCCTACCCCTACCCCGTTTCTAGCCCCGGGATGTTTCTAGATGCAGGTGTTCTCAGTCTACGGAGTATAAAACATCATGTTAGCCAGGGGCAAGCACGGGTGCTATACGGACCCGAGGACCCGTGATGCAACGATACGGTTACGGAAGTGGGACATGCATGCATATTCAGCTCACCATAGCCCCTTTGTGATGCTACGTAAATGAAGAGTCTCTTATCGAGCTGGAAGACTCAGGTAAATCCAATAGGAATGGAACGGCTTCAACATCCGTATGAGAAAGCCCGGGTAACGAGAGAAGGAGGGTAATGGAACACTGAGTACACGCAATGTATAGGTGCTATAACCCACGGCTCAAGCATGTGAAAACAGAACATTGCACATCATTCGTATAAACTACATATTATCCCTGTCATGGTAGAATAGAAGATGCTTGTCATGGCAATCTGCTCCTACTTTGGACGGTTGTTGCATTCTCCTATCGTAGATCCACCAAAGCGGCTTCGGCAAAGTTGCCGGGTTCGATTAGTCGTGATGCGGCCGCATGTCTCCCCGCTTGGCACAGATTCGCCCAATAAGTGGATTTTTGGAAAGCCAGGAGCATGTCTAGTAGCTAGCTGAACAACCCCAGTCAATGTAATGATTGTTGCAATACTTGAGTTCCCCCACCCACACTGCGAGGAAGTGTATATAAGTGGCCGTAGGGACTGTAGTGCTTTCTCTTGTTGTCAGAAGTCTAGTTCCTTGGGAGTTACTCCGTACTTGTTTACTTGTTCGGCCAATGCTCGGCTTGGAAAATACAGCATGGCGATCCTCTTAGATAATCCTGTGGCTGCGATTTCGTTGAAAAGCGTTGTATTGTTGCCACTGTCAGCAGTGATATTGGTAAGGTCTTTATGAGAGAGTGATGGCGTGGGCATCTATGGTCTGACACAAGAAACTAGGGACTCCTTTACATCGCATACACTGCGATTTACAATTTATTCTTTCACCCTCTCAGAAAGTTCCCTGGTCCAAAACTATGGGCTCTTCATTATGGCTTTTACGCTCGCCTGGAGCTCTCCGGTGAAGGCCATCGCAGGATGCTACAGATGCACCAAAAGTACGGCCCAATTGTCAGAGTTGCCCCCGACCATCTGGCTATTTGCCACCCGGATGGAATGAATAATCTTTCAGGTCATCGCAAGCCCGGCCAACTGGAAAACGGAAAAGAATACGTCCGCACTGAGAGCAATCCCGGCACGATTATTGGCGCGAACCGTCAAGATCACACCCGAATGCGAAAGAGCATGGCAAACGCCTTTTCGCAGCAGGCTATGCTCGACCAGCAGCCCTTGATTGTATCCTACGTCGACAAACTCTTTGAGAACCTTGAACGTTTCGCCGCGAAAGGAGAAGTGTTTGACGCTGTCGCCTGGTACAATTACACGACCTTTGATATTGTGGGCGACTTGGCCTTTGGCGAACCCTTTGGGTGTCTTCAGGAATCCACGTTTCACCCATGGGTAGAACTCGTCTTCAAAAGTCTTAAAAACATTGCATTTGACTCGGCATTTAGGCGCATGGGATTTCTGTACAACCTTCTGGTTATGCTTACCCCAAAGTCTGTCATGACTAAGTTTATAGAACACAGAGAGCTATCCGAGCAGAAAGTTCGCAAGAGGCTCAACACCAAGACGGACCGAAAGGATTTCATGGCATGCATGACATCTCGGAAGGGAAAGGATGTAAGAGATACAAGAGAACGAGTGGAGTGAATACGCTCATCAGAGTACTAACATGATTGCACAGGAACTAACTTTCCAAGAGCTCACTGCCAATGCTAGCATTCTTATCATGGCTGGCTCCGAAACAACCGCGACGGCGCTCTCTGCAGCTACATACTACCTTGGCTTACACCCCGAACCCTTGAAGAAGCTATGCGATGAAGTGAGGTCTGCATTTCAATCGGAAGACGAGATTGATCTCGTGAGTGTCGGTCGCCTAGACTACATGCTCGCCGTTCTGAATGAAGCGATGAGACTTCACTCACCAGTTCCAGCTACGACGCCACGAACCATTAATGAGATGGGCGATACAATTGGGGGCCAATTCATTCCTCCAGGAGTACGTATGGCTTAACTTGCGACATGAATCATCTTGCTTACATGTGTATTTCCATAGACTCATATTGACATTTGGTACTGGACTTTGTTCCACAACCCCGAGTACTGGGTTCAAGTCGAGGAATTTATTCCCGAGCGCTGGCTGGGAGACACACGATTCGAGAGCGATAAGAAGCAAATCTTTACCCCATTCTCTGTTGGGCCTAGAGGTTGTATTGGCAAGAAGTGTGTTTCCTCTGAGGCTCAATTCTGATCATCACTAACGATGAGTGCGCGTAGTCTTGCTTATGCCGAAATGCGTCTCATTATGGCGAGACTCATCTGGAACTACGATATTGAGCTTCTTGACGAAAGTGTCGGATGGGATAAGAGATGCGAGGTTTACATTGTGTACAACAAGGGACCGCTTTATATCCGTCTGAAGCCCAGGAAATGAGAAAGGGATGGAGATGTAATCGGGATTTGGGCTGGATTGAGTTGGTGATGTAGCTGTTGCTAAGCTCGTATTTACTTTATATACCTATATCATAAGTGTTCATCGCATAAGTTGCTGCCTAGCCACGACTTTGCATTGCCTAGCAGCTTGACTCGGCCGTGCCTTAAACTTGTAAAGATTTGGACGCGCGTGCTGAAACTAAATACTGCAAAATAACCCGAATCTAGTGGACTGCTGACGCATGAATTGTGGCGCAAACCGTCGTACTTAATCACCCCTGAACGCGCTTATTAATGTTGCCTGGCCGTATTCCGCCCTCTAGGTTGACCGAGTCTCTAGCTTTTTATATACATGTTTTCTTCATCAATCAAAACAGAAAGTACTAAAGCTTACCGGATAACTCACAATTGATCTGTTGCTTCCTTTAATCTAATCTTGACTAGTCATCCACATATAGTCTAGATTGAGACCGGATTCCGCAACCCCCCTGTCGATGGATGAGTCTCCTAAATCCGCAAAGCAACACACACAAAACAAAGGGCCCCAGAGTAAGCGCCACTGTTGGGAGTGCCGCCGACGATGCTTAGTGTGCGATTCTGAACTACCTGAGTGTAAAAGATGTCGTACGTCGGGCATCCGTTGTCCCGGATATGGCGAGGTGAAGCCTACCAGGCTGAAATGGGTCACGCCTGGGAGAGTCCTATCTCGAGATCAGAAACAAAAGAAAAGCTTGGTCTACCAAAACCAAGACGGTAACGCCGATATAATTACAGGGAACACATCAATTACAGTCTCAAAGAAATATGACATATACACGCCAATTCCACGATTCGAGATGCATGAAGAAGTACATGCCATACTACAGGGCTACGAGTACTGTAAGTGGCTGTCTAGATTGGCAATTTTGGAGTATGCTTGCTAATACTTGCCCGATAGTCAATTCTTGTATATATAAAGACTTGGTCCCTCTCCATGAACTTGGATACAATCCTTACGTATATCCACTTTCTGAGAAACATCTCCAAGCCGCAGTTTGGTGTCCCGATTATCTAAAGTATGGTATGCTCTGCATGATTCTGAGCCACAGAATCAATCAAATAGGAATCGCCATTCCACCCAAAGAAACGGTGGAGAAGTTTTACCTCTACTGGGGCCTTGCTGTTCGTTCTCTCAATGAATATCTCGGCATGGAAGATAAGCGTTTAGGAGATACGGTTATTGCCGGGATATTGACACTTTTACTTGCTGATGTTAGCTATCACTTCCCCGAAATATCATACAAATGACTGCGGCTGACTCATCTCATCTCTTGCTATAGATTCAACAAGGATCATCACTCAATTGGCGATGCCATTTAGACGCAATTTACAGGCTAATTATGCTGCGTGGCGGATTTTACAAAGTGGCCGAATCAAAAAGTATGGAGCCACTGCTCCTTTGCTTCTGGTCGTATGTGATCCCTATCATGACAACAATTTACCGTATCACGAATTAACATCATCTAGTGTTGCAGTGATGGGGAATACAACATGTCCTGCATCAGACCTCTTCATGACTACTTTCCAACGTGAGACTCTCAAATTTTTGCCACAGCAATACATTACTACTGTATCTCCAATTCAGCTGTGCCCAGTATCACTGTTCGTTGAGCTTATTAAGATCAATCATCTACGTATGCGGGTTACAAGACCTAATGCTGCTGGTACCGAGGCTTTTCAGAAGGGGAGTTTTGAAATACTCGAGCGCATCAATTGTTTCTCGCCCCATCGATTGGCTCAATCTAAAAGTTCAAATCAAGAATATTGGACATTAGTTGGTCTGGTGTACCAGGCCGCTGCGGCATTATACTGCATCTTATCACTTCAAAGCCTCTCAATTATTCCTGAGACTCCGGCACTCCGAGTCCAATGTGCCACGCATGGAAGACTTATGCAAACGCTTCTGGTGGAAGCCCTCGCGTCTAAAAGCCTGAAAAGGTTCATGATTTGGCCGCTCGTTGTACTTGGGGTGGAAGCTGTTCACGGCGATGCACTTATGCGTGAATTTGTTGCTAAAGAGCTGTCAGAACTTAGCCAGAGTGTTGGAAGTTATGTGCCACTTACGGCAAAACGAGTTCTTGGGGAGTTCTGGGCTTCTGGGAAAACTCGCTGGGATGCCTGCTTTGATAGACCGTATGTCTTTACTGGGCAAATTGCGGTGGACACGAGCGGCTTAATGCCGTTATACAAGTAATCTTAAATAGACTTAAGCCTCGAGATCCAGTTTCATCCCTATTGGAATCCTTGAGATGGAGTATCCTCGAAGTATCCTAATCAAAGAAACAGTATGAATTTGACTCGCATGGTTGGGAAAATACGACATTGCCGCCTTACAGCCTCAAAGCTCGCTTCCACTTACACGTACGTGGCCCGCGTGGGTCTGGCAAATATCTCCCGAAGCTAAATGTCTTGGCATCTTTTTTCTCCTATTTGGGCCAAGCGCGAATCCTTCAAAGAACAGCCGACTATCATAGGAGAAGATGCCCTGCTCTGCCTGCTCGTTATATATAGTCTAGCCACTTGATAACATTCCAAGGAGTTATGTTTTATTCTCTAATACAATCTTTCCTTTCTTTTCCTTTCACTTCGTTAGCAAAAGATTTCCCCTCTGCTATTTGCTATTCCTTCAAGCAACAGGCTGACAAGAGAGGGTCATCTCTCATTTCAACCTTCAAACTTCAACTGGTTTTGCTGTAATAGACATCATTTTTAATTAGTCTTTTCAAAATGGGAGCTGGAGATCCAGGTAAGAATGTTCTATTATCCTCCATTCTATGTGAATCCTTAAGTAACAAATCATAGTTTTGTATAGCTTGTACGTCTACACTCCCAACAGAGGTGCTCCAGTCTTCTTCACCGTGGCATTCGCCATTTCTGCCGTCTTTCACATTTGGCAATGCTGGTATGTATATATGTAATTTTTTCCTAGACGAAGACAGGACTAACCCTGCATGCCAGGCGCTACAAGGCCTTTAGGCTGATCGGACTGCATTCTGTGTGCGCTGTGCTATTTACTCTGGGCTTCGCATTCCGAGAATACGCATCATACCATTACATCTATACGGGTGCCAAAGGGACACCTCTGATCATATTCATCCTTAGTCAGGTCTTTATCAATGTTTGCCCGTAAGCTGGTACACCTATTTCGACAATGTTGAAAGATTTCGACTGATGAACTCCTCTTGCAGGCCACTTCTAGAGCTTTCGAATTACCATGTCCTCGGCCGAATCTTTGGCTATGTGCCACACTGCGCTCCGATACCTGCGTCTCGAGTTCTGCTTACGTTTGGCGGCCTTATGGGTCTTGTCGAAACTTTGAATGCTGTGGGAGTTGCTTTATCTGCTAATCCCTCGGCATCGCCTGGTCAGCAGAAGCTTGCGAGCAATTTATTAATAGCCGTGCTTGTCATTCAGCTCGGCGTTATAGCTACTTTCTTCTGTATGGCTGCCATCTTCCACATGAGGTGTACGAAAGCTGCTGTCCAAGCCAAGGCTGTCAAAACTATGTTAACCACTCTTTACATGAGCATGGCTCTCATCTTTATAAGATGCATCTACCGCCTGGTAGAGCATACCGGAAATACAAAGATAGACATTACAGATATTGAGGCCCTCAAAGGTCTAAGTCCTCTTTTACGCTACGAGGTCTTCTTCTATATTTTCGAGGCGACTCTTATGTTTCTCAATTCCGCGATATGGAACGTCTGGAACCCAGGTCGCTTCTTGCCGAGGAGCCCTCACACCTATCTTGCACAAGACGGAACCGAGGCCACAGTGGAAGTAATACCGGATAGTCGATCAATTTTCGCCAAGATCGCCAATGTGCTGACATTTGGACTATTGTTCCGCAGAAAGAATACCACGGTGGTATTTGAAGAGTTGGCCGCGTATGATAGGAGTGAGCAAGCTGGAGTGCAGGTACACAAATAACGGCGTTAAAATGTACGATATATATAACACAGTATATGTTAATAAAGACTGCGGCACCAACCAAGCTGTCATCACGAGATTAGGCAATTGTTTGCATCCGTGATAGAAAGAAATGAGTTCAAAACGTTAGAAAGTGTTATAAAGGAGCCGTTCTACATAAACGACATATAAAGCTAATTTGCCGAAACTTCCCTCTCTGCCTTCTCTACCTCCCAAAACTTTCTATATCTCTCCACGCCACCTTGGCCATCGTCCTCTAGCACACGTTGGAGCCACTCTTCGTCAGGTTCTGACAAAACGTGACAATGAGGCGTCGCACGCGCATCGAGCAAAACTTCAACAGTATCCCAGTTGCCTGCAACAACGGCGGCGTTTAGGGCACTGCCATATTTCCCAACCCGGGCGTTCACATGGGCTCCTCTGTTTAACAGCAAGCTGATGGTGGGTGTCTGACCCGAGTATGCTGCCGCTTGCAAAGCCGAGCCAAATAATCCCCCTGGTACATTGACATCGATATTGGGGCAAAGTTCTAGAAGAAGCTTTGGGCCGGCAGCCCCGTAATATATGTCTCTTTCCCCATGAAATGGTGTGAGAGCCTTCACAGTACACGCAGCCTGGAGTGCAGTGCCGTATTCACCGACCACAAGATTAGGGTCAGCACCATGTTCGAGCAATAGCTGGACCCTTTTAGTCCAATCGGAACCGTATCTTTCAATCTCCCTATTCCAAGATAGCGCGTCATCATCCTCTCTTGCTTCTGCTTCCAATTGTAGCAGATTATGCAGAGGAGAGCCATGAGAGTTATGTGAATCATTCACAACAGCACCGTAGTCGAGCAATAGTACCACCAGATTATCATCTTTAGAGAGCGCGGCTGCACACAAAGCACCGTTATTCCCCAGATGAACATCGGCGCCGTGTTCGAGCAGTACACGCGCCACATCGGTATGACTTCTTGCACAGGCAGCCTCCAATGCAGTGCCATGATATCCGGCTTCGACATTAACATTGGCACCTTCTTTAAGCAAAAGATGAACAAAGTCCAGGTTTCCGGCCGCACAAGCTGCCTGCAGCGCTGTGCCGTATCGTCCACCCTGGGTGTTTACATTGGCGCCACGATCAATCAAGAGACGCACTACCTCCTTGTTCCTGGCCGCGCAGGCGGCTTGGAGCGCCGTTCTATAATGACCGCCTTGAGCATCAACTTCAGCGCCACTGTCTAGAAGTAGTTGTACTACTTCTAAGATGCGCTCCCGTGCCTGTAGTTCAAGTTCTCTTCCCTCATACCGAGAGTCGCACTGACATGCCGCTTGGAGGGCATTGCCATAGTGTCCTCCTTGCGCATTCACATCGGCGCCGTTCTTGAGGAAATACTGTATAACCACAATAGGGACATTGCGGCTATAGCACGCTGCCTGCAGTGCCGTTCCGTATTTGCCCCCCTGAATAGAGACATCAGCACCTCTATCCACTAGCAGCTCAATGATTTGTATCATTTCAGAATTCTGACCATAAATACTGACACACACGGACTGTAGAGCCGTGTTATAAATCCCTCCTTGAGCGTTAGGATCTGCGCCGCGGTCTAGTAATTCCTTGATGAATATAGCGTCACTAGGAGAACCCATCGCCGCCTGAAGTGGGTAGCCCTTCTCCCCAGCCAGCTCATTCATGTGCGCGCCTCTATCTAACAGCAGCTGGGATGCTCTACGGGCTCCGATATATGTTGCTACATAGAGCGCCGCTGCTAAAGAAGTGCTGTCTTTCATGTTGACACCAGCGCCTTTGTCAAATAAAAAACGGAGACAGTCTACGATATGCGACTCTAAGTTGTTCACCAGAAAAATTCCCTGATAGGGCGTGTATCCTGGATGGGGCATGTAGTCTGTCTTGTCGAATGGGCTGTTGACATCGGCTCCGCGACTCACAAGGAGCTTGAGCACATCGAGATGACCGTTCCATAGCGCAGTTCGCAGTGCAGATTCCAGGTTGCCAGCGAGCGCAGTGATTTCAGCTCCGTGGTCGACTAGAAGCCGTACAATCGCTGTATCTCCCAGCCCTGCTGCTATTTCTAGACAATCGTGTATCTGGGCACCCTTGTCTAAAAAGAGCTTGACAAGGGCCTTTCTCCGATAACGTGTTGCCCAATAGAGCCCGTCATCCAAATCCACTTGTGTGAGGTACCTGCCAACACCGACACTGCTCGATATTAACATTTCTGTCAGTTGGCGGAAGCCACGCGTGGCAGTGTAGAGATAAGGTTGTCGTATGAAATTTCGTATTCTTGTGAAGCGATAGATCGTATGGACTAAGCTTATGCAGTAGATTGAAAGTGAGAGAACTGCATTTCGTAAAATTTCAGGAGGCCAGGATGCTCGGGGAATGAATTCGATGTGTCGTGCCCAACCGATGCATGCGTATCCAGCCAAAGTTTCCTCGTGATACAAATAGTAATGTAGCTCGTGCTCATTCGATATCTCACTCGTTGGACTTATGTGTAGATGATAGGCGAGACAAAAGCGTCCAATGTGTATGTGGGCGTCGGCCTCCGTGAACGCAAAGACAGATGAACGGGTCTGAAGAATTCTGTCAGACGTCAGGTACTCCTTGATCGAGAAGTGAGCTAGTCGGACATGAGAAGCGCCATTGATGGGGCTTCCCTCAGTAACAACTAGTCCAGGAAAATACTTCAACACATCTATCGAAGAAAAAAGGCGAGACATGCTCTCAAATCCATCGTCCGATTTGGAAGGGAGCATAAATATCTCCGCAAGCTGACCAAGGTTTAGAGGCTCAAGTGAAAAAGCGAGCCATTTCAGGGATGCTTTCACTTGTGGTTGGAAATTTGCATCTATGCTCAGAAGCATTCTGTCGTAGGTTGAATCAAGCCCGCTGGGAAGGTCTCCCAGAGCCCTGCGAACGGCATCCTCGGAGGATAAGTTTTGCAAGTTTTCGAACTGGCAACTCACGTATTGGAACCTGGAGTAACGGTGAGCGAGATTGTCATGTCAATCTGAGACAATACCTACATGCTGTCTGCTTTATCTATCAGCGCATTTCTTGATTCTTCTTTGATATCCGTTGGCCATGTATCGTATTCGGTATCTGCTAGAATCGAGTCGATGTACTTGCCAATATCATCGTCTAAAACTTCGCGTTGGACAGACAAATCTATTTCGGCTCCCCAGGGATCACATAACAAAGGCCTTATTGCTTTATCTATATCATTCTCCTTGCGGCTTGTACAGAGCATGTGAAGGCTGTCCGGTGCTGCGTTCAGAATATCACACAAGCTGTTCAGGAGTCGCTTTCTCTCGCCGTTTAGCGTTGGACACTCGTCCAAAGCATCAATAATAATATACACGGCCGAAAATCCCTGGATAGAGGCGATTAACGCTTCTATGAGTGTTTCCGTATCTGGACGGCCGCCGTTATTCTTATACTCGCCGAGGCTTTGGACCGATTGCGGCATGTATGGACGATGGGCACTGATTTGCTTAATTAAGGATGCAAGCATTCCATCGATTTTCTGCTTCTGAACATCGCTAAAGCTGAAGTAGAAATAGGCGAGCACATTCATAGAGTTTCCCTTATGTCGGTCTTGTAAATGCTTAATCACAGAGGAGCTTAAAATGGACTTCCCAGAGCCAGCTGCAAAGAGAGCTGTTAGCTAACCGAAACCAGGTTTAATATCTTCAACATGGTCCAGACATACCTTTTCCATGGAGCCATAAAAAAGCCTTAGACACCATGCTCTCCTCCCACGTTTTAAATGCCTCGCACCGATCTAGGAGCCACTCTCCCGTACCACCCTTGTGCTTACCGTGCGCGCTATTATATAGTTCGGTGTGGTCGATATCGCATAGCCATCGGAGCAGTTCGATGCGATCTTTCTGCTCATGCGCGTCTTTCACAGCTCTCTCTAAGCTAGCGACATTCTCCCCAATGGTAAACCAGAGGCTCATGGCTTTTTGATGCCGGTTTTCGGCCGCCAAACATTCATCATCGTATTGAATGTCACGCCAAGTCGTAGTCAGCTTGGCAAACAACATGTCTTGTTCACGAATTCCATTAATTGGGTTATCCCAATCATTTCGTTTTAAAATATCCAAGCAAAGGCGGGATGCGGAATCATTGGTGAAGTAGCAGTAAGTTGTAACTTGAAACTTCAGAATCTGTCGATAAAGCTGTTCTAAGCCGATTTTATACTCCTGGTGAGATTGTTGAAATGATTGGCCTTCACTAGGCTTTAACTCATAGCGCCGAACATAAAGCTCTTCTCTCATTCGGCTCTGGGCAATAAGAGTCGAGACGAATTCCAAACCCTTTACCAAGGATGCCATTTGTGTTGAAGGATTCATAAAGAGCTGACATTAGTTAGTAGTTGGTAATTTGTTCTCTCATAGGTATCAAGTTCCAGGAAGTTTGTGATTCAACTTACTGGCAGTAATAGACTGATGCCGACCCAAGCAAAAGATGCATAAGAGCTTACACTCACGGCATCAGTGATGTATTCGTTGACCAAGCTCACAATCCCTAGAATAGGTTGCACGAGATCTCTAATGTCGACATCAGAGCTCCTAAATTTTAACTTCCACATATTCGAATTGACTTCTTTCATTTTGTATTCCAGGATCATCTGCATTCGGTCTCTCATGCTTGCGTTAGACCCAAGTGTCGAACCTAGACCAGCGATCATATTCCCTCGGAGCTTTGTCTCATATTTCTTGATCAGTTCGCTCTCATCCACCCGTAGCCTTTTGTATGCTATATTCCAGAGATCTTGGATTGGAGCATTGTCAATTCGGGGATTCTCCAAACTCTGAGATGACCTGAGCAGTTGGTAGGCTGGTACAATATTTTTCTGCGTTTGTGAAGCCTGGTCTGATTGTACCGGGTCTTTACAGGATTCATTATCTTTGATAGTCGAGGTATCGGGCCTTGAATTGGCGTGATGCTTCAGATGCTGGGCAGAATGGGAGCCCGATGCGCCATCTTTATCTTTGGGTCTCGACGAACCTAGACTGTCCTGGAGACTCTTGAACCTTCGTTTCCAGTCCCGGCGCCGCATTACGGGCTCTTGGTTGTAAGGATATGCAGCGACGTCTATCAGAATTTCCAAATTTACGCCCTTTGAAGGGGAAAGAGAGTTAGGTAGGATCCACGGTTGGGTAGGATGACGACCCCCGCCCGAGGCTGCATAACACGACGTATGGTCTTTTGATAGGCCGCCTTCTCGGCCATTCAACGGTCAATTTAGGCAGCATAACACATTTATATATTTACGTCCAAGGATGGGTTGTATAGCCTTCAAGTTGAATTTCCGCTTAGATCAGCATTTTAGACCAACATGATCAGATTACCGCAAGCTTATTAACATTGGGTATGTATTTTGCGCAACATAGTGCAGCTGGAACGAAGAAGACTTGATTAACTTATTTGTGGCCTTTGTACAAATAACCCCCTCTCGTTTGAAGCATCCAAGGACGGAGGCCGATCCTGATGTCTCTTTCATTCTCAAGCATTGCCTGAACTGGCTTACTTGGGACATGGACTTTCATCAAATAGTCCATACTCTCATAGGCGTGAAATATGAATAGCTTGTTGGGTTGATTGATGTCTCTCCATACGCCGTACACGAGTGTACCTGGCCTTTCAGCCCTCGAAGTGTTGACGATGTCTTCCCAGTATGCGTGTGTCTTCGATGCCGTATCTGGCTTGTACTCGACTTCGGAAAACACTACGAAGGGGTCTGCGTGATTCACGACTTCAGGCCTTGTAAAACTGTCGCACCCTTCTAATGGTTCGAGTTGGCGAATGGTCGGGGCACTGTTCAAGACTCCAGGCCTCAGCCAATTGGTTATTTCTTTGACAGCATCTTGCTGGTTGTGGTTTTGTAACGCGGCTTCGTCGGCGTACCTTGACAATTTCATGAGCTCGATGGGAACCAGCCAGCCGGTATGTATTCTTATTGGTTACTCACTCTTCAATAACATATACGGCAGGGTCTGTCGATTCTTCTTTTGCTGTTGTAATTATGTACTTCAGCACTCCAGGCTCTTTCGCCAAAGCATTGTCCGCTATGGCGTGTAAGTACCTCAAAAGCTTTCATGTGTTAACAAGCTGGTAATACCCAGGGTCCTGTGTCTGGTTACGAACTGTATCTCGGGCCTCTTTATCTTTGGGCGAGAAGGAAGAGAAGAGAAGTTTTTGACCCATCTTTGTGAATAAAGTTGTATTTACTTTAGAAGATGCAAACCTGGAAAAGGAAAAACAATACTGAGAATAGTCACTGGAAATAAGTCGATTGAGATTCAGACGAAAAAATTTGAAAACAAATCGAATTCACTGTCTGTTCTCTAAGGCAGCGGCTACACAAAAAGCGGTGGACTGACTGCATGCTGTAAAGAATTAGTGCGCAACGAATTATGCCGCCTCTTACACCCGCAAGATAATTTCCATGGATTAGAAATCATCGAGGTACTGCTTGGGATACGGGTATGCTTGTGCATGAGTTCTTCTGTGTGAGCTTTCATTTTAGCTATTTGACTGTTTCTGCCCATTTACAACGATGAGAAGTACTGGGTTCATAGATTAAGAGAATGTTCATCGGCGGAGTATTTCACCTCACTATGCATTGATCTGCCCGCAAAAGTGCAACTCCACCAGGGGGCAATTAAGCCGCAAGTTCATACATGATAAACCGCCCGATGAGTTGATAGGCTGTGGTTATCGAAATGTCTTGCCTGTAGTCAATAAAATTACAAAATTCTGCTTTCATTAGAAAGGCTTATAGATCGTATTCTACAACAATCTGTCACTCATCATCTACTGTCAAGATGAGCGCCGAAGATCGTAAAGCCTTGGAAAACAAGGTCAAACGCAGCTTCCACACTGACTTTAAGCAAGTCGAAGCCTCCCGATCGGATTGGGATAGTTCTGCCTCTGTCCAATACACGAAGACTCCAAATCCAAACTGGAAATTTGGCGATGGAGCCAACCACACTCACACGGAAACATCAGCCAAGCATATCGCCATCGATCCCTACGAACCGGGTCGCTCACTCATCGACAATTACAAGTTATCCATCAGTGCTGTCGTCCCAAGGCCGATTGCCTTCATTTCAACACGCTCAAGGGATGGTAGCAAAGAGAATCTAGCACCCATGAGCTTTTTCCAGATGATCAACGCCGACCCACCGCTCTTCATTTTCGCAGTGAACAGCCCCCTTGCAGCAGCCAAGGACACTTTGCGGAACCTTGTTGAGACCGGCGAGTGTGTCATCAACATTGTCAGCGAAGGCATCATCGAAGCTGTTAATGCCACCAGCATTGACGCGCCCTATGGTGTTTCGGAATGGGATATCAGTGGTCTGACACCCGTATATGACTGCCAGACCGTCTCGTGTGCCCGTGTCAAGGAGTGTATCTTCAGCATTGAGGCCAAGATCGAGAGCATTCGCGAATTTGACAGCCGAGCCAATCCAGGAACGAAATCTGGGACCCTTGAGGTCGTTGAAGCCACCCGCTTCTGGGCGCGTGAGGACGCCCTTAACCAGGAGAGAAACGTCATTGATCTTTCGGTCCGTATTTCGCGTCCATATTTCAGGTTTATAACAATATAGAAAACGAGGCGCTGACTTGCACAGATCCTGCGACCTATCAGTAGATTAGGAGATATTAGCTACGGTCGGACGCTCCAGGCTTTCCAACTACCTCGACCAGAATTCGAGAAGGACTTGAATGGCATTCAAGGGTTTGAGGAGCTGAAGAAGCGGCGTGGAGATACGCATATATAGTAAAAGATGATACGGATATATTCGGAAGTATTTTAAACGCAAAGATAAATACATGTAAAGAGATTTTAAATGAGAATAGGAGGTATTGAGCTATGATTACGGACTATGGCCAGGAGTCGTCGACTGCTTAAATAGAACTGTGCCCCCCCAATTTTATCACCCCTCTCACAAATGAAGTATGTACTTACGAGTACACACCGCGAATACTTCGTTGAGACACGTAGTGCGCTGTATGAAATGTTATTGGAGCAAGTTGGAGTTACGAAGGGTATCCAAGTATCCAAGTGGTATATGATGTAGTAGTACCGCTTTCGGAGGAGTTAACTGATATGCTCGAGGAAATCCAGAATGTCCGTTTCTGCTAGGCTCGGAACCAAGTTATGGGGATTTTGTCTGGGGTCGCTTTGATGGTGGTCATGCAAATGGTTGACAATAGGGTTGAAGCACAGTTGGAATATAGTAAATTTGACAAGCCATTGGTAAATCAGCTTCACTGAAGCTTCCCATCCAGCCATGCTTTTTTAGAAAGCTCATCACTCGTGTTCATACAGTAGATGGATTAGTATTGGTGCAAGCCGCGATTCTGTATAATCCATCCATATGCCAATTAATGGGTCCCGGCGTATCGCTGGCTGAGGCCCACCCGGTACTCCCTTGCCGTGGGGTAGCGCTGACCAAATCACGAATAACGGAAATGCCTTCCCCCTACATGGATCTTGTACTGCATCCATGTAGGCTTGGATGGGGGTGCTTGTGTAGAGTTGAGACAGAATATGGATTAAGAGGAATCTAGTATACAAAGGGAAACGCAAGGGTGCCGGCAGTACCAAATACTATTGAGTTGATCGTCAAGTTTGCTTCCCCAAAGCTACATGTACATGTAGTTATTCGCCAGCATTTACTAGCCGTCTCGTTTACTTAATTCCCAAGCTGTGATATAACTGGGTACAGAGGACATCTGTATGAACTGTAATCCGATGTAACCTTGCCCCAGAGATGTATGTCTGTATGGTAGACGTTCTCCAGAGCCGAGAGTCCTAGTGCCCGCTCAAAGTTCGTCCGCAACCCCTTTCCTTACTAGCTGACTATCTACTCAAGCTATCATCCGGCCATTTTCTTTTCACCTTTTCCTACAATTCCTTTCCATCACAGAGCGGCCTTATGTAAGATGAGTTCGTCAATCTACTCTTCTCGTTATCGGAATCGGGCCTGTGAGAACTGTAGACGGTATGTCACTTCATGTTCCTATCCCCTCTCAGCCGGCACAGAGTTCAATAGCTGACAATCCATATTTGATAGGCGTAAAAGACGGTGTACGATTGACTCTTCTCGCCATTTGGGCGGTTTAATTTCTTTTGATGCTGACATTCCCACGAATCTAGGCGATTCGACCAAGCCGCAGTGCCATTTATGTCTAAGATCAGGAGCCCCGTGTAGATATCCATCATTTTCTTTGAAGCCGGGACCCAAGCGGCGCTCCCGCGATGGCATTAATGGTAAGCGTCCCACAACCCACACCATAGATCCATGGCAAACGCTAACTAAGATCCTGGAGCGAATCGACTTCATACCTCAGAAGGCCCAAGCAAGTCATCCACTCCGGAAGCCGTGGATACCGTCGATGTACAAGATATAGGCGCAGAGCAAGCCTTATCAGCCTTGGGGTATCTAGATACTCCTGCGATTCCCTCTGAACCTCGAGAGTACATAACGGAGCCATTAGATGTCAGCCCAGAAGCTGCCTCTGCGCAAAGAGAGCCGCAGTTTACTAGACTAGATGTGGGCAATCCTGCGGATGCCTCTTTCTTGGCCAAACAACACGTGCCTTGGGCGCAGTCACCGCCGTATCCTCCTCTGGACATCATTGTGCATTTGGTTGAGGTGTATTTTGAGTCTATTCAACCTGAATTCCCACTTCTCCACCGCCCGAATCTTCTTAAATGCCTCTATTCTGGATCATTGCTTACTGAGAGGCATTCACCCCTTCTTCTCAACGCGTTATTCGCCCTCGCGGCAAAATTCACGGATGATCCGCGAGTACATTCTTTCGACCTATCGCTTGCACAATGCTTTTCTGGTGCAGAGTCTCCAGGCACAGCCCACACTCGAAAGACTAGCCGTCGCGAGAGGGGAAGGGGGTTTTCTCGGCGAGCCGGCGAACTTCTCCAAGACACAGCTCACGAGTATGAGAATCTGGAGCTGGATGCCAATATGGCCGATAAGCCATCGATTTTACTCATTCAGGGGGCTGTGTTGCTAAGTTATGCCGAGCTTTCACGGGGCGCAGTACATCGAGCTTACTCACTGATCTCAAAATGTGTGCGAATAGCCTACGATGCAGGCTTGGATCGAATAGACTCAGTGGAGAACGCCCAATCTATTGATCATATCTCGAGCCACCAGACTACGGATTGGAGAAAAGAAGAGCTGCGCCGCGCATGGTGGTGTATTTGGGAGCTTGAAAGTTTTGTTTGCAACATCCTATGTCGCACTCAAATAACCAACCTGACGAACTGTCAAACGAAACTCCCAATGGACGATTTGGACTGGTTCGACGGCACAGAGATACCATCCTACTTCCTGCCAAGTAATTTTGAGCAGTGGTCCAGGCTTGACATTGCATCGACACGCATTTCCATACTGGCGCATCGAATCGTGGCATTGCACTTCTTATTGGCCATCGTCGGGCTGGAAGTGAAAGAAAGCTCTGATCTTTCCACGGCTTATGCAGAAATTGAGCGCTGCGTAACAATATGGAGAAAATCGCTGCCTCTAGAATTCACGTCCTTATCTCAGGTTCAGAATTGTCCTGATTATCTCGACTCGTTCAGCAAACGCCTCTGGATATATGTGATCAATGAAGAGTCGGTATCGGACCTAATATTAAGATTCCAAGCTGACTGATGGGCCAGGATTACCCTGTTCACAGCTAAAAAGCGAATGTTTGAGGGTTTCAATGATGCTACGGCGCCTGATTACTGTCAGAGCTACTCCAAGTGGCTTTCATCCAGAATAGAACAGGACCGATATTCCATGAGACCTTCACAGTCTCGGAAGTTCTTCGAGACCATCCGCGCATCAGATAATATTTGCGGTGCGATCAAGCACTGTTCCAGTCACATAATCCATCGTTCTTCGCCACTGATTGTTGTCAGTCTATGGGCGCCGGCCTGCATTCAATTTCTAGTCAAAATATTTGCTACCTCGAACGGGGAGCTTCGCGACAAAGCTTCACTATCTCTGCAGACTCTCGTATCTGCCATGGAACAGTTTTCAGAATATTCAGGGCTTTGCCAAATAGTTTTGAGTCTGTATTTTCTCTCCAGCTGGAAGACGTTATCTAACTGTCATCATAGCACGCTTCCAAGAGTATATGCAAAAACTCAGTCGTTCTGAGCCGACCGATGCCGAAGATACCGCTAAAGGAGCTGCTTTCGGAAGAAGAACTCTCTCCCTTCCGAGGCCTGTTGACGATGCAATCATGAGGATTACCGAATTGTTGAAACCTATGCAGAGTAATGGACCAAGGGTTCCTTCTTCAGGCCCAGGGTATGAATCAATCTCTACTGAGTTTCCAAACACCTTGTGGTCTTATTATGGCCATGGGAACGGCCTTGAGCCTCAAACGCTATCAGACGATTTCCTGCGAGGCTACGATTGGATCAATCCCTTACTAGATTCATCAATTGAGTGACATCAATAGCACAATGCATGCTCTGGAGTCATTTCTGGGCGCATATAACGATTACTGTTAATGAGGCATGGAATCAAGAAATATCTAATAAGGAAAATTCATGTTGCAATCAATCATTAATCTCAGGGAATGAGCCTTTTTACTCTCCACTTATGACAGGAATAGTTATAGAGCTGGCATACAGCCCACCTGTGAATATAGTATTGGCTGCTCCCCGATGATAAGATTCGTCGTAAGCGCGCTCCCATCCTGGAATTGCCCCTGGTCCTTCTGCTGGTGAAATCTCAACACGGAATCGGCAACCCAAGGGAATGCGCCCTGTAGCAGCTAGCAACTCTACATCAATCTTGACCACTGTGTTTGGGAGTAGAGGTAAGGCATCCTCCTCCCGGTGAGTATGCCAGGGACGTTCCTTGTTACTCCTCACTGGATCGGTGGCCCCATGAGAGACCTTTAGACAGCCGTACGTCAGTGGTGCTCGTGTACCAGGTACTCGCGTCTGATAGTGGACTTCCTTATCACCCTTCATGACTCGAATGGCGACAAAGACATCAGCATCTGCTGATGTAGACGCTACCCACAGAGTGGCACGGAAGTGCCCTGCCAACTCGAGACTCTCCGTCAACGGGTCTGACTCGAAAATAGCCATTGGAAGACCCCCGGCCACTTGAACGTCTGCGGAGTATGTGAACTTCCCCTGCTGTAGAGGCAAATGAGTAGTGATTTCCCCTACAGTCGTGGCACCGTTGGCGTTGAGGAAGAGTTCCCGGTACTTGGTGTTTGGAAGTGGCCAAGTTGTCGCATTCTGCCACTCAAAGGCTCCACCACCTGTTCGCATTACCAGTCGGACAGGGGATTGCTCCTGATCCGGTACAAGTCCCTTGAGATGTCGGCTAAAGAAGGCCAATAGATCAGGTTGGCAATCAACAAACATATATTCCGGATAAGCAGCGTCGAGCATGAGAAGTTGCTTGGCTGGCGATGGCAACTCGACATAGGCTTCGAAGCCTGCACGGCCATGTATAAATCCCGTCTGACTGACGGCTGTGATTACGGGTATATGGATTTTAGAAAAATCAGCAGACAATATTGCATCCTGACCATGGCCATGATAGTGTCCATCGTCCCATGGGTGGTTTTCTAACCTGGCGACAAAATCGACAGCATCGCCGTTTTTGTTTCTTGCGGGGCCAACACTTTCTTTCCACCACCAGTGGCGATAATTTTCGAGGAAAATGCCTCCTGGGTATGCGAGATCGCGGTAGGCGTCGGCATCCGAGGCTATCGCGGCCATGGCGTGGAGGGACGGCGGTTGTAGAGCGGCAACATTCCACTGTGTGGTAGCGTTGTATGAGCTACCATACAGTCCGACCTTCCCATTACTCCAGGTCTGTTTAGCTGCCCACTCGATAGCGTCATAATAGTCTAGGGCTTCTTGTTGCGAGAAAACGCTCAATGTTCCCGGTGTCTTGCCCACGCCGCGGGCATCCACACGAACCACTGCATAACCTTGCGGCACCCAGGTACTGCTGTTGGCGGAGGCAGCTGTTTCCGAGTATCGAAAATAGTAGTTCAGCTCTTCTGTACTCTTCTCGAACCAAGCTGCTTCTCGTTCCTCACTAGCTAGCATTTCGGCCTCGTTATGAACGGACCCGGTTTGGAACGCACGGCCGTAGACGCTCTGCCGGAGGAGAACGGGATAAAATCCTTCATCAATGGGTAGGAAGACATCCGAAACGAGGTAGCTCCCATCACGGGTAGGAACCCTGACGTCCCGGAGTACTCTGATGCCCTGAAGAGCCCGGCGCAAGTGATTTCGAGCCTCCGCAGCTCCACGAAGCCGGAGCCCCAGCTCACGAAGTACACCATAAACAGCCGGTGCTTTCTCAAATTCCTCGATACTGGACAGGAATTGGATTCCCTTGGCATATGTTTCGACCGCTTTACGAGCGGCATCATCTATCACCACACCACTCCGAAGATCCGCGTCCCGTCCCAGACTTTGGAGGAAACGCGCTCGATTATTCGTTTCTGCGCAAGTTGGCTCCAAATCCTCCATCCTCTCATAGCTACTGTCATGCAGGCTAGCTATTGTCAGAGATGGTGACCCGATCGCCACCCCGATGATTAGACTACCGATGGAGAATGTTATCAATTCACCCTCCTCGTAGTAGAACTGCCCATCTTGATCGGTCACACCCTTCTGAGAAGACGTTTGGTACTCGAGACCTATCAAAGGACCGTCTCGGAATTTTCCAGTCAATATTTGCTTCATAGCCTTTGTAGAGGGTATCAGACTGCTTTACACAGCTGGAAGAAGTGCCTGTAATTGTGATGTTACTGAGATTATGATAGGTATCAGGCCCCTGTTCTTGCTTATGGGTGGGACCTGCCTCTTATGACTTTTGCAACACAGGTTGGGTGGCTCAATATTCCCTATAGCGTTTGACTGAATATACATATCGAGTGTATGTATCTACGGCAGCAAGAGGAAAGCGAATCTTCCCAATGACACCGCGCCGGATACACGGCATAACACAATCGTGATATGCCGCAAGACTATTTCAGAGGTAATGGGCTCCTAAATGAGACTGTCCGCTTGTATTCTACTCAGCTGTTACAGCGTTAGTAATTCATCCGCACATCAGAGCCTAGGGTGCAATAAAGTGCGGTCTATTTGACGAACATGGGTATTATAATTGGTCCGCCACCTTTCCAGTCTCTCCTGGATATCAGATCCACTGAAAATGCGACAACGCCTGTAGTATTCCGCCATGTCTTGTAACACGAAACATAGGCTATAAAGAAGCAAATAGTTCTCTATTCAACACCATTTATCTCATCACACTCAACGCACCTAAACCACCCAAAGCAGAAACATCTCTCCCTAACATTTCAAAGCTCTTTTCTAAACTATCTACAATATTACACCATGCGTTATACTACAGACTTCAGCGTCGAAGAGAAGTACACCTATCTCGATGGCTTGGGAAATCATCATCAGTAAGCCCGTCCAGTCTTGTTCAAACATTTCAAATCTAATTGATGAGATTAGATCTGAAGCATTTCCCGGGGCAGTTGCATTTGTCAACCCCTATCCTCAACAAGCCCCTTATGGCTGTCGAACGGAGAAGATCTCTGGAACAGCGTTTGTGGCTCCACGGGCAGAGAACTTGCAAACCTACACATATCGTTCCCAGTCCTCCTACGATCACTCCGAATTCAAGCCGTGGCATCACGAATTGGAGACTGCTAATCCGGCAGAACCGACAAAGTTCACGCCCAATGGCTACTGGTGGTCCGACTTCGCCTCGGTCAGTGAAGGCGATTGGACAGGGCAGCATCTGCTAGGAAGCAACGGAAACGCACGGCAGAAAACTGGAGTTGCTCTCTGGGTTTTTAAACTCACTAAAGATATGAAGCCACAGACGGTATTCTCGAGTCAGGATGGTGAGGCTTTGATCGTCCCCCAGTCGGGCGCACTGGATATCACCACGGAACTGGGAAGGCTGCTAGTAAGAGCCAACGAATTTGCCGTTATCCCGCGTGGAATCCGATATCGTGTAGGGTTGGTCGATGGAAAGCCATGCCGAGGCTACATCTGGGAGCTGTATCAAGGCCATTTTCGATTGCCAGAGCTCGGTATCATTGGGTCAGTGGGCCTCGCCAGCCCGCGTGACTTCCAAGTTCCCACAGCATTCTTCGATGGCGAAGTTATCGACGGCATTGCTGTTGCAAATAATGGCAATTCTCCGTGGACTATCATCACGCGTCTTGATACTAGACTATGGTCCTGTACACAAGACTCCACGCCGTTTAATGTTGCTGGTTGGCAAGGCACGCTCTATCCTTACAAGTACGACATGATGCGCTTTAACCCCTTTAGTAATGCTGCATTTGATCACCATGACCCATCGTTATACTGCGTCCTGCAAGCCCGGGCCTATGGGAAAGAACCTTTCACCTCTGTCTTGGACTTTGCCCTTGCCGGGCCTCGCTGGGAGGCTACTGAAGACACAATCCGGGTCCCCTGGTACCACCGCAATACTATGTCAGAGGTCATCTTCCCGGTAATCAACGACCCGGCACTCCCTTTCAATGGTGGTACGAAGTTTGGCCCCTTTGCAGGTTGGATGAACGCCGCCATGGTGCCGCATGGGCAGACGGAAGAGGAGTATCAGCTGTACTTGAACCAGGACACCAGCAAACCCGTAAAACTGCAGGATGATGGAGTTTCGGTAACGGTTTTCGAGACTGAGTGTCCCCTCATGCTGAGCGAATGGGCTTATAACACGGCAGAGAAGAATTTCAAGTCACAGGCCTCCGCGGTATATGATAAATGAGATGTGCCAGTGGAGGGAGACTGGAGAATACTGAGCAGAAAGATATGCTTCAAATCTTGAGGTACTTACATGTATCTTTGACCATTTTTTTATTTCATATAGACGTATTTATTGTGAACTCGATCTTGAATAAAGCCACTTGGCACGCTCATCTCCAAACTCTTCCAACATAATTCTGTTTACGGCATTACATACATGTAGATTCAACTTTGCATATGCTTTATCAGCATCTTCATACAAACTTTCGTTTTATAGCGATCCCTCAGGCCACTCGTAAGGCGGCCACGGAAAGTCAGGATTCCACTTCAATTGGAGAACCATAGTGCCCTCAGGAAACTCCTTCTTCGTCCCATCCGACATTCGAAACGGGCCGGTCGGTTGATACATCGTCCAGTCGTTGATGACTCCCACCGCCTCTGCCACTCCATCTTTCAATCTGGCGTACCTATTTGGCGGCGCAATGTAGTCTCCCATCACTTCGCCACCTTTGTTGATCTCGTATTCGCTAGGCTCAGCCCTGATCCAAACAGGCTGACGATATTGGTCTTTCTGCATGTCCGTCTCGAAATCGAACACTTTGGGTTGTTCAAAGCCCGCCTTCACGGGAAATTTTACCCCGCAATTGCCCAGATCCTCTTGAAGAGACATGTTACCAATGCTGTAGTTGACATACACGAGCGACAACTTATCCGTCCTGATGAGCATCTTCCACAGAACATCTGTGCTCTCGGCTTGTTTCCATTCCACATGCTCTTCATCTGCAAACCAAGAAATATACCAGACGGCATTTTGCTTCATGGCCTCGTCGTCGAGGATGAGGAATTTTTCTTCTCGACCAGCCTCGTCTTCTTTCCGGCGGATGTATTCGTGAGATTTCCCGATATAGTCCTCAGGTGGACGGACGATTTTGATGTGAAGCCTAGGATCAAAGCGTGCATTATTGCCTAATTCGAAGGCTGATTTGAAGACTTGCAGTTCATCGCTGGAGATGTCGGCGAGAAGATAGCATGTGAGGACATCTAGATTGTCGTTGGGCACAAAGAAGACCATGTTGAACTTGTTGCAATTGGTGTAGAGACTATCAAATCTGGTGATGAACGAAGTATGTTTTTAATGAATCTGATTTAGAATGTACTGTATGTTTCAACGTCCCCAAGACTCCCGCTGCGTAAGCATATCAGTAAACAACCCGTGAATGCATGATGAAATATCTCGTATCGAGTCGTGAGTTTTAGGCAGCGATTAGCGGTGTTAGTGCCTACAGTTATAGCCGTGCGCTCTTAGTGGCGGCTGCGCCTCTCGCGATCCGCTTCATTAACAGGCACAGTATTTTTAGAACTGCTGCGGATCTAGCTGCATCTGTCTCGCTTACCTTACCGAAGAGGCGGTAATATATATTAACTTCAAGGAGATCGGGCTAAATATTTGCAATGTGAGGCTGTCACCATCATCTATAAGCGCCTTGGTGATGGGCAGGTGGTAGCCAAAGACAAGCATCGCCACATCAATTAGCCCTCATTACACATCCTTCAACTCTAGACTCAAAATTCGGGATCAATTGAGCCATCATACTAAGCCCGTCCTTCGATATATACGGTAAAATTCAGTGTATACTTGTGACACACGAGACGTATAAGGGTTACACACGGGGGGGTTGATCGGCGAGGTGGCGCTCACAGTTTCGAAATACGAATGGCATTAACGTTGCACAAGATGAGTAGCAGAACCTATGTTTTGTTTTGTTTTTATTTCTTTTTTCTAAGCTTCAATGAAGTATCTTAATGTAAAAGTGGACAAAAGTATTTATTTATGTACAAGAAGAATAAAATGAGGAGTAAAGACCTACTAAGATGGCTCGGTTGAGTTGTGTAAGTTTGTATAACGGAACGTGTCTCAAGAGCATCCCGAGTTTTCAATATCGCGTCCAACCCCCAGATTCGGATCCATCCCCCGCTCCATCAACACACGCACTATATCCTCTCTTCCCTTACTAGCAGCAATATGTAGACTGTTGCACCCTTCGCTGTCTACTAGAAATGGATTCGCCCCGACAGAAAGTAACATGCCGACAGCCTCAAGATGCCCAGCCTCGGCGGCATAGTGAAGCGCAGTCCGCCCATAAGTGTCTTTGGCATCTAATCTAGCCCCTCTGCTGACGAGGAGGCCAATGATACCCATGAATCCACCTCTAGCAGCTAAATGAAGAGGGAACTGACCTCCGAGGTGACTCTCTGGTGACAAACAATTACTCTTTGGTCTGCTTATGAGGCTGATGGAAGCGTCGTACGACAGGGCTGACGGTGATGATTGCGAATCCTGAAAAGGCTGAACGTCCAACGTCGCTGAGCTAGGAATAGGGCTGTGGCTGTGGTTGTCAAGCGTGTCCCCAGACGGTAGAACATTGGCGTCGGTATCGAATAGAGGAGATGCCGCTGGCCAAAAAGGAGTCCATGGATTGGGGATCTCGGCGGATAGTGTTTGGCTCCTCTCATAGTCGGATATGGCCGAGGGAGTGAGAGCGCCGTATGATGAATTTGGTGATGTGACGGATATGAAGCTCCGATTGTAGTCCTCCGGAGGTGTAATCTCTAGTCGTCTAGTGACGCAGCTGCAGCAAGGTCCAGCGTGTGGTGATGTTCTGAGATCTGGTGATTTGGACATTTCAGAAAGTCTCTGCTCAGCTTTCCGGCGTCCTGCATGATGGCAATCGTTAGTCGATATTCTCAAACTGCGTATTACGAGTCGGCTTGACTTACTATGCTTGCGCTGGGCGATTCTATTCTGCTTCCTCCGTCTCTCTTTTGCAGCATTTTCGGCATCGACGATGCTATCAAGCTTAATCTTTTCTTCAATCCCTTCATCATTCTGAATGCAAAGCCTCAATTCATGTCGGTTGCCAGAGGGGCGTTCTGGAGTGCAGGATGAGGTCGCCATAATGTCTTTGCTCTTTTTTACGGTAGACGATGTTAGCTTTGCAGTAAAAAATTCTCCAGTTACATAGTATAGTTGTCGTGGATAAAAAGTGCAGTTCCAAAAACTTGTCTCATTATTTAAACATTTCTGTCAGGCACAGACAGGGATGTTGGAAGGAATCTGGGAATCTTATTGTAGACACCCTCGGCATTGGGGGCGGGCACACAGCTTAGCAGCATCTCCTGCAACAAGCCACACCTTTCACCACTCTTGTGCGTAGCCGAGAACCGGGGATGCTATCATCTTGGCTGAAAGAAGCCATTTGTGGCTCGAATTGGCGCTCACACGGCATCTATAAACGCATCAACACGCTAGACGGTCGCAGTGACAGTGGCCAAACTCGTCCATCTTGGCGGCCCATTTTGCCTTTTTTGCGACTGTGGCGATCCTGCAAGGTTGCTTGCTTGATCTGGGTTAGCAAGGCTGCTGCAAGGAACCACAAAAGCACTGGATGCGATGCGGCTTGGGCGACTGCTAGGAATAGTCAATGGCGGAGCCGTTCGATCTAAGCAAAGGGACCATGGGGCCGCGGGCTGGATTCCAAGCAAACCAAGTGCGAAGTGCGATGAATCGATGCAAGGGATGGTTGTAAGGCTGGCCAATCGGTGGCGCCCAAGCTGATGGTTCAAGGGATCATCTCCTGAGATGGGAACATCCGGAAGACGAAGCGGAATGACGACGTTCCGAATAATGACCTCGAGAGGCAGCTCGGTGATTGACTCATTGCAGCATTCGGTCTACGCGGAATTCCAGATTGACGAAGCTTCATCACGGCCATCGTCAGACGCTGCGGCAGTTGGCTTTCACGGGACCATGGCAAACCCGCCAAAGCAGTGTGGCGAATGCACAAGATCCATGTCAGTTTGGCGGTTGGCCCAATAAGCGCCCAGGACGAGGCGCAGAAACCCAGGAGGATCCCCAGAAGGATTGCCCCTGGCATCAAGGCATACTTGCGTCGATTGATCACGGGAATTGCGGCTGGGCCGTAGAGCAGAGCAATGGCGCGTCTAGATGACGCTGCTTCATCGTGCGCCGTAGCTAAATATGAATATTTGCATGATGCTAATGCCAGGCAGACTTTTGTGAGTCTGTCCCACAGAAGCTAATACGCGCCTCACATTATTAATAACAACAGTGGGCGATCTCATCTGGCGACAGCTTCAGCTGTGTTGGCAACTCGTCGCTGACGTAGCAGAGCGCGGCGTATTTCCACAAGAAGAAAGTCATTCATTACCGTTTTTCGAAGAGCGTAAAGTGATGCGAGATTACCGTAGAATGTGCAGCGAATAGTACATGGATTTCATCCAGCCAGTCTTACCTGGCCCGGGTTGTTGGACTACTTCTCGGATATAAGTGGCCCGGCGGCAATAGCGAGCTAAAATCCCATCAAAGGCCAAATTAACCAATGAAACGGGCTCGTTCAAGATTCCGGACCAAAAACCGGTTCGTTGTGATCCCATGGAAGTCTACGCACACGCATACGCATCGATCTCCAGCCCCGGTATCAAACCACATTGCAGCACGGCGATGTCCGATGCAGGTGGAAGATGACAGGTTACAGGATGAATCAAAAGTCCAATTCTAAGCTAGAAGTACATTGTGATCTATGACTGACTGGCGCCCGTAAATGCGATAGCCCTGTGGTTGCCCTCTTTAACTCCTCTAGTCGAAACATGCCAAACTGTGAAAAATACAATCGAGTTCTGCATCCAGTGCAAAATTCGTAGAATGTTGTCTCGCTGCATCACTTCTTCTGAGATCCGGAGGTCGAGCTAGATCCTCCAGCTCCAGATGTTGGTGTACTAGCCGAAGTGTTTTGCGCACCAGATCCTGAGGATCCTGATTGACCGGCAGTGTTGTTGGTGCCGTTGGCATCTGAAACTTGTGTTGGCTCTATTCATTGCTTTTCAAATTTCTATATAAGGGGAGAGATGAACCTACCAGCAACAGAAGCCATAACCACAACAAGAGGGAGTCTCATTTTGTCGATGAATTGCGATTTCAATTGTTTAAGACGTGAATGTCGGAGTGTTTGGTATGTTATATCTTTTCTCTTTGTTAATAAAGTTGTTCTGAGTCTGATGAACAATATCTTCATTCCCTATCCCAATATTATATATCTTTCCACGCTGTCAGCGTGACGCGGCCCTGACGAACACGCTGAATGGCCGAATGCCATCCAAGCTGAACAGAATAGGGCAATGCATTCACCAACCCATACCGTTTCAACGTCCTGAAGGATGAAGGTTGGCCGAAAGGCGGGATAGGCTGATATGCTGACAGAAAAGTGCAGTTCCATGTCAGCACAAGAGCCAGCATGACTGCTGACTGCGAACATTTACACTGCGTCGGCAACACTCACTCTGCGATACCGAGTATCATGAGATTGCTTTTGAATTATGAAACAAATCATCTTTGCAAAGTTGTTGTCTCTACTTTCGGTTGTGCGGAATATTATCAATGTGCATTCTCGTTCCTTTGTCGAATGTGGACATATTCGAGGCAGGCTCGGACATGAACAGAGCGCTGCGTCCGATAGACATTGACAATAAAAACTATTTATCAATAGAAAGATATATCTTCTTTCTAACTAGACTAAAGAGTCTCTCTCATGTACATGATGATAGGATTTACTAGAAGCAAGTTCATGTTGGTCATACGCGATGCGCCTTTGCGAAAGGCGCTACAGGATTCTTACATGTCCATGTGATCTCTTCATTCAGAACCAAATTGATTTTATGATATTCCAACGTTAATTTGTCATTTCATATTGCTAAGTACAATGATTTATGATATACCGACATGCCCAATTGCCTGATCATGACATTCTGATTATGGTGACAGTCAAGGAGCCGTATTGCAAAAGATACTGCCTAAGCCTTCCTCTTGAAGCTGAAAATCATTTATCATGTGTTATGACTTTGCAGATAACAGAAACATATGACCCGAGATATAATCCCTAATTCCTTCTATTGAGGTCATTCAGATAGGGTAGCATTCTTCACCCAATTCGTCCAAAGTGCGCCTCGGCAATTGCACTTTTGCCGTGTCAACCGCAGCCCCGGAAATTACCTTTTTTTTCTTTATCATTGATAAAACATCTTCAAAGTCCCGTTCTGTGTCATGAAATAGGATTCTCCGGCCAGTTGCACAGCTGAGCCATTGCCAGTGACCAGATTGCCAGACAAGTCATTTCTGTGCTGAAAAAAATCCTAAAAAATAAAACACTTCTTACTCACACGTCACCTTGAGTGAAATATTTCTCTAATTATGTCGGGGCCAGGCTGTGTTTGGGAGCACCCATTCAGTGAACTTGCTCAGCCTTGTATGACTGACAGGTTTCAGCCCTATAACCTGACTTAGTAAAGGAGAAGGATCAGTATTCGAAACAACGAGCCTCATGCGCAAGGCAGACGCACATTAGCCCAAAAATAAGCACCGCTAGAGGTAGTGGGACAATGAATAGTGGTACGGCGTGGCGAAGGCAACTGATACGACGTTAATCTCGCATTGTTCCGCCTAACGTCGGATAGTAGTATAAACAGACTTTTGTAATGTACAGCAGTATTCATTAGAATAATAAGATGCATAGAATAAAAGAATTCACGGTAACAACCACGCATGGAATACTTGTTTATCAGTCATTTGGCTACTATTATGTAACCAAGCCATTGGGAGACTGAGAGCGGAATTGCTGGCTACAGCACGCGCAGGAGGAGTTGCTTAAGACATTGAGAAAATAAACCAGTATATAGAATGGCTCCGTAACGTCCCATTGACTTTCCGCATTTTAGCACTAACTGATGCAAGTCATTGCGCTTGTATTGGCGCAAGGATGGAATGGTGTATCATGTAAATGAGAGGCGCATTGTTTCAAGACTACAACAAGTTTCGTATCCTAATAGAGCAGCGCATGGAAATTAAATAAACAAAAGAACAAAAAGGGAATCGGGTATCAATTAAAGGCGTCAAATGCAAAAAGAATGATCTCGCCCGGGCTCGAACCGGGGACCTTTTCGGTGGTGTCAACGAAAGATGTTAACGAAATGTCATGACCAACTAGACCACGAAACCATTATGATATCTGATTGGTGGAAACAAGCGGCCGCATATGAAGTATATAAATCTCCCCACGAGCGGACGACAGTCTCATCTTCAAATCGGGAAGCGGCAGATCTGATGGCAATACGGCAAAAGTCATCCGAATTACGTTTTGAAACTGATGTGAGATTATCTGAGATTGATCTAGGACCAAACTTGAAGAGGGAATTAGGATTATACCGCTATAGAAGCTCACTCTATGTAGCACTTTGTGATAGGTTCAAAGAGTAGTCGGCAAATTATAATTCAACCTTAATTTGCCGATGTCCGCAAGCCACAGTCAAAGCGGCTGCTTACCGCTTCTCTCATTGTGACGCAAAAGAGAAATGCTTGAACAAAAATGCTAGACTGCGGACTTTTATCCGTACTGACGTCGGCCATGAGGAATTCCATGCACAGCCTCAAAAGCCCAAATCCGAAATCCGAATCGGAGATGACTATAACGCATGCATATGCAAGCGTATAAGTGAGTGACTCCCTGAAGTGGCAATCGTCCGAAGACTTGAGTCACTCTCCATTTTCACAGGTTTAGCAATATCTCAAAAGAACCGCAGTCATCCACTAACTCAAGTTAAATCACCGCTCGGCCTTCAACGAACCACCCGATCGTACGGATGTCGAGGTTCCCGGAGTAAGCAAGTTCCCCGCCAGTCCGTAAGCCGATCCCCAAAGAACTGGGAACCATTGCCACCAGATGTGGCCTAGTGAACCCTCTCCGGCTATCGCTCAACAGAAGAACCATAGGTTTTAAAACGTTCTGTTTCTCCCCGTCCTCTAAACCCAACCCAGCTTGCCGGAGATGAACTTTTTTGTTGATTTTTGTTGACTTGGAGTGGTTGCGCCTGATGAATAAGCGCTAACTACCGAGCATGTTGCCTGTTTGCTGTTCGTGTTGTTCGTAGTTAGCCAGACTAGTCTGACTCGAGTGATAATTTACTACCTAGTAGCATGCATTTCATGCTAAGACGTGCGTGGGGGAGATAGCAGCTGCAGGACAACGAGCAACATTGGCTCTTTTAGGGAAACAATCTTAGAATTTATGATCATGGAAGAATAATATGAGAGGTATTGGATAGTAATTCATGAGAGGTATTGTGATTCCCATCAGGGCGTGAAACAAAAGCCTAGCCATAGACGGAATCTATTAGTGATCTGTTGATGATATGGACAACATTCTATCAGGGATGAAAGATTGTCATTTATGTCTGATTAATAAACATATGAAACGGAAGTCCATACGTACAGATCATGAATTCCATCTAGACCCTATAAGAGCATGTCAGGCTGTCATTTCACTCATATAGCACTAGCGCATCACGCCCGGGACCATAGCATTACGAAGTACACGTATAACCGTATTTCTTACCTATCACACAAGAACTTCTGCCAATAGTACACGGGAAGCACCTTAAAGAGTGGTCCTTCCGAGCCTATAAGGCATCGCTTAATGATTTGTATTAAAATAGAATACGCTACGGCGAATTACCTAATACCGGACTCTATGACAAATGATAGGTTCTGCTCGGAGCAGATGAGGTAATCGGACCAGACTCAATACAACTTCTTCAGCAGTCTTGGCAAACCTCTATTCTATTTATATGCAAGTCAAATAGTTATGTGATGTGTATCACAACACTATCAGCAGCCAAGTCTGATAGCGGCTCTGATTCCAACTCAGTGATAGGACCAAGGGGTAAGCTGTCTCGTTCCTTGCCGCCTTTACCGTCTTCAACTAGGCAGCAGATGAAGAATGAACTGAGTAAACCAGAGCGGAATTCGTAGTGTCCCCACAAGGCTCTTGTGGCTCAGGGTTTTGCAGCCACTGCTGACTCCTGGTCGATAGAGTTTGGAAAATGCTGACAGTGCGAGTAGTCGAGGAGCATCCCTCTGGGAAGCATTCCAAGTGAATCATGGATTAAACTGAATTATGACCAAAATCCAATGACAAAAAGTATGAATGCCAAATCCGTGGCTCCGAATTCACAGAGTGTATACATCACATTTCTGCAATTGCGTTTCGGTCTTAACCGAAAGTCTGATTCCGTACCACAGAGGCGCCCCGGCTTCCCGGCCCTTACAGTGTTCGCATACTGGCGGAACTGTTGCCGCACTGAGGTTGGATTCGCCGCCGGAAGTGTGGAGCCGAAGGAGCCGATCCGCAAAAGCCTAAGAATCATAATCCACGGTATGAACTTATCCCCCTGATCTCACATCACACTAGAGAGGTCCCCCCGGAGAAGCCCCAGCGTCGGTGAAGCAATTGACGTGATCGGGCGTGTTAGCCATGTTCCTAGTTCTGACGGGAGAAAATCAGCTCATGACAAAGAGACTGGCCTCCTTGGGAACCCCATGGTGTGTCCTCATCTATGCCCCAGTGAAGGAAGAGGCCAAAATGCTTGAGGGTAATACGTTCAGTTCCGCCTTGTTCTTGCATTTGTGAATCATGGCAAGAGTTTGCGAGATGTTCTGCGAGTAGGAGGACAGAATACATGCTCTTATCCGGTCTTGTTGGCCAAAATGATTCCACAAGGAGACAGTGGTAACATACAAGCAATTGAGCATCTCGTATACCGGTGGCTACTATTTTCTCGCCCCGCCTCAGCCCTACGGCTCAAGCAAAATAAGAGTCGAAAAGTCTCATAAGACTGACATCAAGTTTTGGCTGCGCTAATCGAGCATGTTTGCTACCCAAATACAAGCCTCCAGCGATCCAACGTGAGACACGCTACATCAACTTGGGAGATACTATATCTCAGGAATGCAACAGTGCCTCAATTTCGGTGGTAACAGGAGTTCGTAAAACTATTTCCGGCGCCATGGATCTAGTCAATGACACATAAGCAGCTGCCGTTGAGCAGTTGCCATCGATTGGTTCAGTTGAATGTGAATATGATGACGGGGCTGTTCAGGCTTCATTATCTGTTATTCGAGTCCTTGCTGTATTTTATACAGACTACATGCTGTCACTTCTGATAACTCATGTTTTAGGTCTAGCGATAGCAATCTTGCATTATCATACCTGATATCCGGAGGCCAGGAGTAATTAATTCCGGGCAAGTTATGTAAATTGGAGAATCGAGTCAAAGAGTCCGCACATGCGATATCTGAAGAACGCAGAAATCATCTAGATATGGACCAATATCCCTTTCAAGCGGCGGGGTGGGCTAAAGCCGCCAAGAAGGAGGCTGTGGCGTACGCCAGCCGTGGTGATATGATATCCGGCATTCATCATATTTCCATCTGTCAAATCGAGCTCCTTACTCATGCTATCGCCGATTCACCGTTAATTCCGCCGAAAAGAGCCCAATAACGAGGAAACGTGTCGTAAACTCGTAATTTTTAGATGACAAGAGTTGGCCGCACCGTGTTTTGCTGCCGAATAATAGGGGGTTTCGCGGACATGATCAGCGTTTGTTCGCCCATCGTTGTATAGGCATTTCGATCAATCAGCTTTCATATTCTTGTATTAGTAGGTAAATTCTGGATATAAGCGGGCCATTTTCCAAAATTGGGCTGTTGATTAAGCCATTAACCTTGATATAATGATACTGGAGGGTGTGGAGGGTGTAAAGGGTGTGTCGCCTCATCCTGCTAACCTGTACCTAGCTGACCCTCCTTGAAGCAATAAGCTCACGAGCGGGTAAGCCTTAGTTGAAGTAAGGAGCTCACAACAGGTGAGCAGCAGGATTGATTGGAGTTGAGGTGAAGCAACCTGGACTATAAAAGGGACGGTGGCCTCTGGAAGGTAACCGTTCATTCGGATCTCATTATTCACCAGCCACTCAATCTTTCGCTTGCTTTTTCAGCAATAGTTCACATACCCAGCTAAACAACTTATAGCTCACCGAATATTTTCACACGCACATTACCACAATGGCTTCAGCACAAGGCATGGCCGCATATGCTGCGCCCTCTCTTTTCCAGCCTCACCTCACCCGTCAGGCCATCCGAGATGCTCACAAGAAGAAGATTCCCCCGTTGATTGGATACTATGGCGGTCTTGGATCCACAAAGATTTCACGCTGGGTGGCGCCTCTCAACTTTGATGTCGTTTGGGTCGACTGGGAGCACAGCAGCATGAACGTTGAGACAATGACAACCATTGTTCACGAGGCCATTTTCATGAGCCAGGGAAGGACAATTCCATTTGTCAGAGTGCCAGGACATGACCACGCCTCGATTGGATATGCGCTGGACGCCGGCGCAAGTCTTGTCATCCCCCAAGTAAGTTACACGCGATCAAGAGTACCACAAAGCACCATGTTGTGAGATGGCAAAGCTGACTCGGTTGTAAAAAGGTTGAAACCGTTGAGCAAGCAAAGCATGTTATATCATCAGCCAAGTTTGGGTCCAAACAAAGGGGCACTCGCTCGGCACCCCCCTTCCGACTGATGCCTGGTGTCACAGATATGGCATTCCAGCCGGGCAGAGATATCTTTCAGGCGCTCAATGATCAAGCTGCCATCATGATCCAGATTGAATCGCTAGAAGGTGTGTTTCCACTTCATCAGCTTTGAGCCTCGTCTTGTCTGCAGTCATCCGCCAAATGGACCCCCTCGCTGACTCTTTGTCCACCAGGCATTAACAACCTGGACGCCATCCTCACCGAGGTGCCAGATATCGACATGGTGTGGCTTGGAAGTCTCGATTGTCGTGTAGAAATGAATCTGGCAAGTAACTACGGCATGGGCGGTAACGAGCCCGAGTGGCTAGAGGCTCGCCAGAAGTTCTTTGATGTCCTGGACAAGCACGATAAGCCCTATGGTGGCTTTGCCTTTTCCAGCCCTCCTTTTGGCACGCCAGAGTCCTTCAAGAAGGCTGCAGAGCGCATGTCCTTTATCATCGTGGCAGCCGATGTCAAAGCGCTGGCCGGCATGGGAGAAACGCTGCAGGAAGCGCGAGGGCTTGTGGAAGGGCTTGTGGTACCGGAGAAGAAGGTGAATGGAGAGAATGGACACAGCAATGTTAACGGTGAGAAGTTATAGATTGGCGGCGATTGGAAAGAATTGATGGTACAAGGGGATAAAAGAGAGATGAATGTGAATGTGAGGGAGAAAAGAGGATGGAAATAGATCAGAGGGGGTGATGTAAGCAGCCGCCAGAGATGGCAGTTGCAGTGCTCAGCGTGCCTTCCTGCTTTGATCGGGTATCATCTGTTAGTCAGCTATCACGACTTTTATAATAAAGCTTCATGATTCAAAATGTCTTTGACACAGACACATTGCCACGGCTTCAGCTGAGAAAGTTGACGTGCTTTTCCTGCTTCCTCTCCGCACGTCAATCGACACCATTTACATAACAGCAACCCTTAGCGCTGCTCGAGATCTGGGGAAGACGCCGTTATCGCGCACCATGTGGGACTCGTGCAACATGTGAATCTGCAATCGAATCAAAGGCGTCGCCTGTGCAATATTCTCCAGTCATTGCCTTGGTCCCCAAAGACGAAACGGGATGCTTATCTCGCCATGCTGCCGCGGCCTCCCCGCAAATCGACAACGGCGAGCGCTGAGGATTGGCTGCTGCTGGGTCCTGATCCCTGGCCGACACAATCCTTGACTCGTGCGGTCCGATTTGCGTTGCATTGCTATCATGCGCTGTTGCCTTCGGGTCATCGCTTGGCCTTTCAGCTGGATTGGAGAAGAGAATAACGGTCAACGAGGGTCGCATTGTACAGATCAGAGAGGAGCATATAGACTACTTGCAGATGCCACATGGAAATCGGAAATCTGAGACATCGGCATCGCTTACTTCGACGCCGGCAAGCAGCAGGGCAAAACAAGCTTATCGTCAGCCAGCGAATGCTTGGGCCAGAATCGGCACCGCCGTTACTCGTTCGAGATGAAGCCACGACTAGGGCCCAGGCTAAGCAGCTAGCACGCGACAGCAACGCTGCGGAGGGCGCATCAAGAGCATGGAATTGGAATGGAGAGCCTCGGCCGTCGTCATCGGACGAACCACTGCGGCACGCGATAGATAGCATCTGACGAGCTTCTTATCTACAGCCCTGGCCATGTCTCCAGTTGCAGCCTGTCTCTTCTTTCTCTTCATATTTTCCTTTTTCCTCTTCCTTTTCTTTTCTTTGTTTGTCTGCTTTGCATGGCTCTGGAATTGGCTAGACATTGAGATTGACAACACATTGGCGCCTGCCTAGACTCGCGCTGACTACCTAGGAAGCAATTCCTCACCGACAACCACCGATTGGCATCGCGTGCCTCTTGAACATACACAGATTACACATACATAGACGACATCTCTCTGCAGCCATGGATTCTCGCCGCCGCCGCTCTTCTGTTGGCAGCGGCGCCCAGACGGCCGACCAGGCCCTCGCCTCGCTGGGCTACAAGGCCGAATTGCCCCGTCATCTCTCCATGATGTCCATCCTCGGCCTCTCCTTCGCAATCATGGCCGTTCCCTTTGGCCTCAGCACCACTCTGTACATCACTCTCACCAATGGCCAGTCCGTCACCGTTCTCTGGGGCTGGGTACTCGTCTCCCTCATCTCCATCTGCATCGCCGCTTCTCTCGCCGAAATCTGCGCCGTCTTCCCCACGGCCGGCGGTGTCTACTACTGGTCCGCCATGCTGAGTTCTCGCGAGTGGGCGCCTCTGGTCAGCTTCGTGGACGGATGGCTTACCCTCGTCGGCAACTGGACGGTGACTTTGAGTATCAATTTCTCCGGCGCGCAGCTGATTCTGAGCGCCATCTCCATTTTCAACGAAGATTTCGTGGCGAATACATGGCAGACGGTTTTGTGCTTCTGGGCCGTCATGCTGGTCTGCGCTCTGGTCAATGCTTTCGGCTCGCGATATTTGGATCTCATCAACAAGATTTGTATATACTGGACGGCTGCCAGTGTCATAATTATCATGGTTACCCTGCTCACAATGGCCGACCACCGACGATCTGGCGAATTTGTCTTTGCCCACTATGACGCATCAGGCAGCGGATGGCCAACCGGCTGGTCTTTCTTCGTCGGGCTCCTCCAAGGTAGGCTCTCACGCTGTTTCATTTCTTATCCCTTTCTCAATCAGTCCATTTAACTAATTATTGATCCTTTTTCTTCGTGCAGCTGCTTATACCCTTACCGGCTACGGCATGGTTGCCGCCATGTGCGAAGAAGTACAGAATCCCGAGCGCGAAGTCCCCAAGGCCATTGTCCTCTCCGTCGTTGCCGCTGGCTTTACCGGCGTCATCTATCTCATTCCGCTCCTCTTCGTTCTCCCTGACGTCCAGACTTTGCTCACTGTCGCAAACTCTCAGCCAATCGGCTTGCTCTTCAAGATCGTCACGGGATCTGCGGCGGGTGGTTTTGGCCTCTTGTTTCTCATTCTCGGAATCCTGATGTTTGCTGGTATTGGGGCTCTCACGGCTGCTTCGCGATGCACATACGCTTTTGCGCGAGACGGTGCTATTCCTGGTTATAAGTTGTGGCGCAAAGTCAACACGTCCTTGGATGTGCCCATCTGGGCTTTGGTCCTGTCCACGGTGGTCGACTGCATTCTTGGATGCATCTATTTCGGCTCCTCCGCCGCCTTCAATTCCTTCACTGGTGTGGCCACTATCTGTCTCTCTACATCATATGGTGTTCCCGTTCTCGTCAATCTTGTTCAGCACCGCAAAGCTGTAGAGCACTCGCCCTACCCCCTTGGTAAAGTTATGGGCCCCATCATCAATGTCATCTGCATCGTCTGGATCGTCTTCTCCGTCGTCATTTTCTGCATGCCTGTCTCGTTGCCTGTGGATGCCACGACCATGAACTACGCCTCAGTGGTATTCGCTGGCTTTGGAGCGATTGCATTTATCTGGTACTTTGCATATGCGCGCAAGAATTTCACCGGTCCCCCAGTTAGGAGTGCAGGAGAAGATGGTGAGATCACGACAGTGGGAGTCCCGGTGGGCAGCCATGAAGGAAATGGCTCAGATTCACCGACAACCAGTCCGGAGAAGGACCTCAAATAACTTACTTAGTATTACGAATAATGAAATAATAATGAGTTTTGACCTCTGCTCTATATATCAATTCAAGCCTAAATCCCAAGATCAATCTCGAGCTCTTCACTCGCCCCTTTTTAGATATAATACAGCTCGTTCATCTATCAGAAATCATTCAGTATAGCGGCCATGTTGCATGTCATAATTCATCCATCTATTGCACACTCCCACTATCTATACCAGCGAAGTATGCCCATAATCATAACGGGTATATACAAGAAAAAAGCCGAAATAAGTCTTTTTGTTTTCCTCCTTTAAACACTAATGGTCCGGAACACGCTAAACTCCTCACCCGTGGCAATCAAGCTGCCCGGAATCTGCGGGTGCCAGTGCACCTCCCTGACGTCCTTGAGGTAGTGCACGAAGAGCAGCTGAGGCGGCACGTCCTTGACGCCGGCCGTGTCCTTGCTCTCTTCGTCATCCAGCTCGACAGCGAGATCCCACAGCGTGACGGTGTTGTCGGCGGAGGCCAGCGCGACGATGGAGTCGTCCGTCGGGTGCCACTCGATGCTGCAGACTTGCTCCTTGTGGTAGTTGAAGCTGGCCAGGGGCTGGGGCTTGTTGGCGTTGCCCTTCCACTGCCTGAGATCCCAGACGGCCCATGTTCCGTCGTCGGCTCCCGAGGCGAGCAGATTGGTCTGGTGTCTTGACCACGACATGACGTTGACGTCGTAGTCGGAGACTTGGACCGTGATGGCGGGCTTGCGAGACTTGGAGCGGACGTCCCAGATGCGGATGGTGCCGTCGCTGGAGGCGGATGCGAAGACGGACTGCTCGGAGGGAGACCACTGGATCTCCTCGACGCTGCTGGTGTGGCCCTGGAACGCCCTGTTGTCAGTGACCCAGCCGCCTCCGTCGGTGCGCGAAGTCATGTAGATGAGGCCGTCGTTGTCACCAGTGAGGAGCTTTCCGCCGGGGACAAGCGGCGACCAGTCCACGGCGTAACCCTCAGACTTGTGTGCCCTGATGGTAGAGATGGGCTTGTTCTGCTGCGCCGTGATGACGGTGCCGGGGACATCGAACGAGGTAAGGTGGGGGGTGACGTCGTGGATGAAGACGTGTGCTGATTCGGTCATGGTGGCTGTGAGCGTCGTGGGGGGCTTGGAAGGGTCTTGGCTGGGAATCTGGTGCGTGCGGATACGGTTGGTGCATGAGTTGAGAGGAATCGACTTGCTCTCCAGGATGGGATCGGCATCCTCATCATCGTCGTCCTCGGAGTCGGAGTCCTCGCCGTTGCGATCCATCTTGCTCAGGCCGCTGAACTTGACGACCAGCAGCTCGTTCTCGTGAGCCTTTGAGGACTCGGCCTGTGTTCCGGTGACGGTGTACATGGTGTGAGGGTAAGCCTTGCGGTTGTCGCCGAGGGAGTCCCTGACAATGTCAAAGGACAAGCAGGGCCAGGGCGTGTTGAGGCCGTGCAACATTTCGTACGTCGTCAAATCAGGCGCCAACGTCTGGCCAGGCTCTAGCTTGCTTCGTCCGACAATGAAGGTTCCTTGATCGACCTCCATAGCCTCTGTATTAACCAATTTTCGTCAGCTACAGCCCCCAATTGAATCTTGTCGAATGGCCCAGCGCAATGCGCAAAAGCTATTGCTGAGTGTTGGGACACTTACGCTCTTTCTCCTCGGCTTCTCTCTCGGCATCTGGCCGTCCATCTACACCAGCCTCAATGATTTCATCTTCACTCTCGAATTCGTCTTCAAATTCGTCCTCGAACTCGCCCATATCCTTGTCCATATCAACATCCATCTGCTCGGGGCGCTCACCACCCTTGAGCGGCAGGTCGCCATGATCGTCCGCTGTGCGCTTCGACATTGTTATTGTGATATGCAGAGACTTGCTAGATTACCTGATGAGACTTTTATGTCAGTCACATTTGCATACGAATCAATCAATGCGCGCATCCACTCACGTTGAATCTGGGCTCTGTGCAAAATCGCAAAATTGAAGCTGCGTATCTTCCAACAGCACAATTTTTGAGCCCCTCTAAAAAAAATTCCATGTAGAAAAATCTTATCGGCCGATAGCAGTTAAGCCACATTAAGCCCCTCTATGTGGCTGGAGATTGTGGCTGTACATTTCACGACACCAAAAATTCCGAGAGTCTACCTAACCTAGAATCTTTCTTTTGTTCTGCATGACAACAAAAAATAGGGTTCATTCTAGGTAAGGAAGAAGTCAGTAGTCATTTAGACCAAGAGTTCCATAGTTGTTCTA